GGGAGGCGTCCTGATCTCCGAGGTCGACGCCTGGGGGCTGTACGCCCTGTGGTGGATCGGCCTGGGGGTCCTATCTTCTATAGGGTTTGGATCGGGAATGCATTCCGGGCTCCTGTTCCTGTTTCCACACATCCTCAAGGTGGCCCTGGCGGGGGAGGCCTGCGGCAGCCTGGACTTCGACGTGCGCACGGACGCCTGGTACAGCTCGGAGCCCTTTCACTGCGCGGAGGGGGCCGAGTGGGCCGGGGGGCCCGGGCGAGTGGGCTTCTGGCCGGTGTACAGGAAGGTGATACTCACGGCGATGCTGTGGGGGGCGGGCACCGCGATCGGGGAGGTGCCCCCCTACTTCGTGAGCTACGGCGCCACGGGCGCGAATCAGGGAAGCGATCCCGTGCCCGAGGTCGAGGAGGGGCTGAAGAGCCCCAACCTGATCAGGCGGGCCTTCGCGCGGATGCTGCTGTTCATGCTGTGGACGATCAGGAGCTGCGGGTTCTTCGGCGTGCTGGCGCTGGCCTCCTACCCCAACTTCGCCTTCGACCTGTGCGGCGTGGTCTGCGGCTACTTCAAGATGCCCTTCTGGAAGTTCTTTGGCGCCACGCTGCTGGGCAAGGGGGTCTTCAAGGTGAACGGTCAGGTGCTGTTCTTGGTGGCGCTGTTCCAGCGGCCGTCCAGGGAGTGGCTGATGGATGGGATGGAGTCCGTGCTGCCAAAGAGCGTTCCGTGGCTGGGAATGGATGAGCCGCCAGCGAGGGCGATCCGAAGGCTGGTGGGCGATCAGATCGGCGAGTTTGAGAGGAATGTGGTGAAGAGGGCCGCGAACCACAGGGGGGATGCCACCTGGTGGTGGCAGGACATCGATTTAAGACCCGCGGCGGTGCTGAGATGGGTGAGGGGGCTGAGGCCCACGAGCGTGGGCGGCGTGTGGAGCGCGGTGGTGTTCCTGTCTGTGGGCTACTTCGCCGTTTCATGCATAAACAGCCTGGCGCAGGAGTACAGGCAGAGGTTGGAGGGGGAGGCGGGGACGAGGGAGGAATTTGCGTCTGAAAAAGAAGGAGCGTCGCAGTGAGGGAGGCTGTTGGCCCGACAATGGCAACTTGACTTGTGGGAAGGGAGCTTGGGGTTTGTCCAACAGTTGGCTGTTCCATTATTATTCTTAATTGGGAGTTGATTTAAGAATTTGCTTATCGCCATCACGCTGCCAACCATTGGATGGGCTGGTGATGTTGAGCGGCGCCCTTCCAAAGGCTGTGTTCCTGTCCTGCCTTCCAGCTGTGGTCCTGCCTTCCAGTGCTGTGGCAACGGGCTGCCTGGCAGCCATCATCTGAGTGTTTCCTCATGTTACCCAGCAATCAACAGCACCAACGGCATAATTGTGCCTTTCATCATTGGGCTGGAATTTGGACGACACCAAAACAATGCTTATCTCTGGTGATGGTGCTTCATACTGGAAAGGCAAATTGGAGTTGATGCACACTGCATTTTGCTGAAATGGCAAAGGGAGATGCGTGGGGAAGCACCGGCACCTTGTGCAGCACCTTGCCTTGGCACCCAGTTTAGCTGAAGCCCACACTGCGAGCTGACAAGGTGATCCAGGCAGTGAAGCCAGCCTGAAAGGATGATAGGCATGGTTGCGGATGGATCAGTGTAACGCAGCGCAAATGTAGTGGGAGACAAGTCATATCCCATTCTGCTTAGACACAAGCACCCATTCAATGCTGCACTTGGTGATGTGGCAAGGGAATTCCTGCACTCTGGGATCAACAGGCGCAGTCTGTACCCAGATGTGGACCGGACCAGCTGAAATTGGGTCTTCTGCAAGGGACAGGCAGAATCACCAGGGCGCCACCTTTCATCTGGTGGTCAGAGGCCTTGGACCTGTTGCTGTGAGCACACGAACAGCTGACAGTTTCAAGTCGTTGTTCCTGCCAACTTGTGCTCCCAAGGGGCGTTGCTTGTTATGAACAACGAGTTCAGCTTGCAGCAGTGTGAATGTTTCATTCCGATAGGATCACAGCTGAAACAACTGAATCATCGAACGTCTTTGGGTCGTGCTGGGACAATTGGTGTTTGTTTTGGTCTAAAGCCCGGTTTTGTTTCAACCCCTCCTGTGTTGATGGATTTACCCAGGAGCAGTTCAGTGGAAGGACATCAGTACATGATACAGCACAGCACCGCAAGTTCCGAAGCGACCAGTTTCTTGGGCTCCACTGAGTGTCTGTTGCAGATCGATGCATGGTGCACGTTCACAACTTAAATCCTTAGCAGGGCAACGCTGTGTTCTCGTCAAGCGCGCAGCCACCATTAGCTGCAATCCTGTAACGGGGCAAGTGCCCCGTCCCTGTATGAATAGATCTTCCGCACACAGTCCGGAAGGCCATGTCAAACCGTTTCTGTGAGACACAACATGAATTAGAAAGACTTATGATGACAGCTGCTTCAATCTGCGCGGGTGATGTTCTTACCATTGTCTTCAATAAGGGTGACGGTCGAATCCAGGTGGCTGCGAGGTGGGGGCCTGCGAGATGCCGATAGTGGGGATCGGGGTGGCAGCGACGGGGCGGGTGGGGGTGAGGTGGGGGTGGGGGGCTGTTCGGATGGTGCAGCGTGCACAGTTGGGCTGTATTCAGGCGATTGCTGCACATCTATCAACACAAATGCTGTGCATGCAGTCAAGATGCATTAAATCCCCGAAGAACAGGTCATACAACAGGGCATCCCCTCCTGAGCAAGTATGCAGTGGGCCCTGTTCCGCTATGCAGCGCAATGTGTGTGCAGTCATGTGAGCCTCGGCCAGAAGATGACGGCAATCTTGCATTGGGATGCGGCGACGCTTGAAAGAATGAGGAGGCATGCAGATGCTCGACGTCGCCCAAGCGACCCTTTACCAGAGGGACGCGACCCAACCAGCCACCTATTGACCACCCTCACGTTTCTCCTCTCCTCACACACATTTTCGACGAAAGTCAGATCCAAAAACTCAATGCCTGAGGGAGCTGTCCTCTGGAGGTCCGCCCGACGAACTGTAGGTCTGACTGGTATTGCGGCGTGTCAGATCAACGCAGCGTGGATCTGACTGCCTGCTCGACGTTTTCACAAAAAATTGTTGTGTAGAGATTTGTTTCCTAGCTGGCTGGAGCGTTGGGCTTAGTGCTGGAGTCGCCTTCGAAGTTTCTGCACCGGATTCAATGCAACAGTTTCTTTTTTTTGGCTCTTTGAAGCACAAGGAGACTAGCTGGGCATGCCTGTACGCAGCGGCCTTACTGTGGAATCTTGCGGTCCGAACTTTGTTTTTGTCGCACAGTGTTCCTCACCATACGTGCCGAACATAAAATATTTTGAACGTATGCAATACCTAGCTTAGTTTATATCCATATAAACAAAGCTAGATATTGCATCCAGATATAAACATCCATGGATGTTTGTGTGCATATTGTTGCACCTGGAGTTGGGATCTTGTTATGACGAGTCCGGGACTTGTTTTCTGAAATTGCACCATGTTCTCACAAAGCTCAACTTCGCATTTTTGGCAATCGGATGACGCGCCCACTCGAACAATCTCCCGATCACGCATGTGACATGCAGACTTGTGGCAACGTAAACGTTTTAGAGCTTAGCAAACAGCATAACAAATCTTGCGAAAACATATAAAGGAAGACATTATTTGAATTTGTACGTTTGCTCGTCAAATTGACGTTAGGGGGGAGAGGGGTACAGCCATTGACACTAAGAGATTATATGATTGCAATAAAATCAAAATAAGGTAGAAGGATGGAGAGAAACGCCGCTGATCAATGGCAGATAGCTCATGACTTGCTGCAAAGCCTCCCTCAAAGCCTTCCATCTTCGAGGAAGTCCTTAGAATATGTCAAATTTTAGGCTTTGGGGCGGCTCCATAGCCTATTTTGGTATCCCATTTGCAAATCACTGCAATCGCCACAATTTCGGTTATTTTTTCCCCTAAAAACCGTTGTGACGTTGTATGGCGTTGTTACGTACTGTTGCTGAGTCATCTTGGACTCGAAATAAGGACTGGCGCTAAGGAGGGCGGTGGGGTGGGTTTGGGTGGGAGGTGTTCTGAGCTTAACGTCACATTGAATCTAAGCGTACAAAATTCAAAGCATTGTCTTCCTTAAATTTGTGTAGGGGTGGTTGAATTGGCCATACAAACACGAGGCGATGCATGGCGTACATGATTCCTGCGAGGGAATACCGATTCACGGCCACGAGTTGGGCACCTGACATATCTGGATTCTGAATGCGCTGTTCGGGCGACTTCATCTGGGTATATGATGCCCACTTGATATCTGATTGATCGCCACCAACTTTGCCTGGGCGAAAATGGTGCAGGGGTCAGCAATTTATTGCACTTCTTTTGCTCTGACAGAGTCAATTGCGTCACTTGGCTCGGCCTGAAAATCCAACAGGATCCACCTGTGCTCGATTTACAATGCAACTCCAGCGTCGCAAAATGCCCACGCTACGATTGAGTTTTCCAGCCTCCGCGTGCAATGAGAGCACGCGCAGGATTTGTAGAAACCTTCGAGTAACCATGTCAACGATATCTCATGATTGTTGACATGGACCCACGAGATTTCCGGGCATCTCCGTTCCTCATCTCGTTCACACTGCGGCATCGCCATGACGTGCAGATCGACGGCATTCCGCGATGCATTAAGACACGCATGTAGACACGGACGCCTTGTATTGGTAGTGCCCTCGCCATCCCACACTGTTGCAACTACAATCCCCTGGGATGACACTCACAGGCAGCACCGCACAACCAATCCGCCAGCCCCGCAATATCGTGCACACCGACACAACCGCCATCGAGCTTTGTGATCAATCACGCCGTCGATCAATCGCATTGACAATTGCCAAATGCTGCAAATCACCCAACGCGGAGAGCCGCGCCATTCAATCCCTGTTCTTGGCAAGGGCCAGCCCCATGGAGTTCAGCTCAGCCTCCACCTCCAGGGCTTCTCTATCGAAGAGCTCCCGGAGGCGGGCTTTCCTCTCCCTCTTCACCGCATCGTCAGCCATGAAGAGCTCTTGCTCAACGGAGTCCCGCGCGCACACCGGATTCCTTTGGATCTTCCACGCATCCCTGGACACGCCCTTCAAATCCAGCGGCTTCCCGGCAGCTTGAAGGCCCCTGCGGCAGCAGACCTAGGCACGTCGATGGAGGGCGAACAGCCTTCCAGACACAATCGCTAGAAAGCAATCTCCTTGTGGTCGAAATTGCATCTGCGCTGTTTTTGTGCGCATCACGCGTCGCACAACAATGGTGCACAATTGTGCTGAGTTTGGACAATTTTGAACAATTTCGAAGGGCTCAAAACACTGCGATAATGCTTTCCAAAGTGGATCTCAAAAATATCTTCTTGTCCGTTTTTCCTCTGCTAATGGCATGTTGCTTTTAATTGCATTTGCCGAACGGTGGCGAATGGCAGCCCGTGCACCTGAGCAGCGAAAAGGAGCACATGGCTGCGCACTTGATGTGGGGAACACAATATGCATCAAGGTACAAATAAAGCAATAGAAGTTACGTTGATGTGAGAATGTGCAACTTAGAATCACGCCCTACTTGGCGGGTACATTTTAGCGGTACTAATATTGCAAACTGCTGAGGAGAAAAGTGGTCACAAATATGCCTTGACAGATTGCCCGTCGTTTTAGTTGTAACTAAATTTGCTGTAAACAGCAAATCCACAATTTGGGTAGATATTGGTGCAACATCATATGTGTATTGTCCAAGATTCAAAACCGCACAATGCTGCAGCGGGGTCTGTTATAGGATTAACACTTGTCAGCATTGATATACGGGCATTTGCTGAAGCGTTGCTTGCCTTGGCATCAAGGGCAATGGAACTGCAATGTTGCACCAATGTCCACCCTAATTCCATTGAATGGGAGTGCAGATGCACGGGCGCCAGAATGTCACCAACAAGTTGCGATCGATTATTGGCATTTGGGGACTGGCGTGGCATACACTTTTCTTGCAGTCTGCCCCACCCAATCTCCATAGGACCACGTATTCGATCAAGATTTCATACGAATGGTTAGATTCGTCTTCTGGGCCGCTCCTGTCTCTGGAATCCAAGCCCAGTATACTTTTTGATTCTGCCCCCGCTCGCCAGCTGGCGAGGACGCCTCTTTCCTTGTACTATCATCAATAAATGCTTCTTGGCACAGGAGTTGATGGCCTGCGGGATTTCCTTTGTGCTATGAATTAGATTTCAATTACCAAATCATGGACACTGCTTTGTTCGGGAAGAATAGCAAGCCGTCGGCTACCTCGTTTGTCTTGTTGCGCAATAGCGTTGATGATGAACGCAAGCTCCATCACTGCCACAACTCACGTTCCGCTCCTCTGGAAGTTCCTTTCGTGCCACCCACTGACTAGGCTCCCCGTCTGGCAGGTCTTGGAGTAGCGCTCCGCATCCTCGTACTTCTGGTTGCTATCGACCAGCCTCTTGATGTTCAGGGGCGGGCTTTTGCTCATGCTTGCTCCCCGCTCCGTGGCTCCCAGCAATTCGCCTGCTCAGTACATTGGGGCCATTTTCAGAACTTGGAAGAAGCCGGCCAAACGACAGCCGCAGAGGGCATACGACATGCATGCAGGTGCCACGTACAGCACACGAACAGCAGAGGTCAAAGGAAGTCAACAAACCTTTTGGCCCTGGGGATGAGATAGCTCATCGTTGCTGGAGAAATTTGGGAGGGTGTAAATCCGCGAAGCTGCCAACTTGCCTCAAGATGACTTTCTAGTCAGGATTTGGAAATACGCAAAAATACGCACAGCATGGCCGAATCTTAAATTACCTTTGACAGAAACGTGCGTTATAGAATTTCTCTAAAAGCCGTTCAGCCTTGGCAAATTGTTGGTTGTGACCTCGACCTGCATCCTGCGGCCCCGCGATCCACACGTCGCGAAACCGGGAAGCTCCCCTGGTGTGGTGATGTGCAGATCGCAGGTCCGGAAGATGCAGGTCGTAGGTCGCAGCCAATAACCTGCCAGATCGCTCCCCCGGGAAGGCATTATTTGACTTTGGCGCGCCAAGCGCTCAATGGACGCTAAAAGCTACATAACTCCACCAAAATCGCTGTAAGGCAGAACACGCCGGAACGCCCTTCAACGATGTGAGAGGTCTTGCGCACATGCTCTTGCACGTCCGTCACTGCCCCAATTCCGACATGGTAGTTTTACCAGGTTTGGGGCATAAGTCTACGGACAAGGCAGCAGGCGGCGAACAGGACGTACCGTCCACTGGCAGTTCAGAGCACCAGCTGTGGTAATCGGCGACAGATGCTTGGCAGGGATAAGCAGCGTCCTTCGGTGATTGGAGCCTTGCAATTGCTGGTTTCTGAATTGATGATTGGCAGAGACGCAACCTGATGCTGATTGTTGAGGCAAGCTCGTGAGCGTGCGATGGAGCAGTGATCATCTTGCACGGCTGGCAACTTGGTGCAGGAGCCGAAAAGGATGGCAGGGCCTGACAAAACAACTAATTGGCACAAGGCGACCACCATTTGGGTTATGCCCAAACTGGTGCCCGTTTGCCAAACCGCAAATGTGAACCATGGTGAGGTGACCAACGTGAAATGGAGAGCTCATCTGACACGGGGCTTCCGAACTTCAAAGCACCGCCCAACTGCATAACTGCAGCTCTGGATCATTCCAAATCCAACCAACTACTGGCCCTTTGAACAGACAGGAACACGTCATAGAATGGACACCCCTTCCCGAGCAAGAATGGTGAAATCAAACATCCAGGCTCCCTGCAGCACTGTAATTGGCATCCAGGGCTCAACACAAGCACAACCGAGGAAATGAAGCCAACAGCCCCATCCAGATCCGAAAATTGAGCAATGAACAGTTCAGAAGAGGCCATTCCTGCTGAAGGCCGCCGTAATGCACATGGCAAGCACATTTGCTGTATCTATTCCCAGCATGCTCTTATGGGTTTTCCGTGTGCACGCATCCAACACCGCAGCAATCCCACACTGCCTCGTTGCTGTGCATAGCTCAACTTCGTCGCCATCATCGTGCATGCAGGGATGCACAAGCAATGGTGGGGGGCAGGTCTCCTGTCGCACTCATTTTGGGACCCCGTCCCATTCCCGCTTCAGAAGATTTCTGGCAGCCAGTGGCCACCACAAGCCACATTATTGGCAGGCACAGACCTCTGCACATCTGTCCCATCTAAGGGCGCCCCTGCTATTGCATTCTGTAGCGGCACGGTGTCCTGAGAGTCTCGCAACTGCACCTTCATAACTTGCAACGTCATCAACTACCAAACTGACAAAGAAACTCAGGACCTCTTCCTCCCCACACCCCGCGAAACGCAATGAAATCCCAAGGCGAGCAGGAGCCTTCCAATTGGAAGTTCCGACCCCGAGAGCCCCCCAAACGCCCACCCAAATCAGCCACAAGCATGAAATAAACAATAAAGATATTCGACCTGCTGCGATCATTTGTAGAACAGGCCCATCGGGCACAACAGTCCTGGGCGCCAAACGGCCTCAACAGCCCGCCGAAGACCGCACCCAGGGCGAGGCCGCCCAGCAGGAACAGGCGCCCTCCCCCACCCTTCCCCCCACAACGCCACCCCTCTACCCCGCGCAGCTCCATCCAATTCCCCAGCCCCGCAGCTCTGGGCGGCGCGCCAACGCCGGCAAATCGCCCCCGACGCCCCACCCGGAGCACAAATCTATAAGCAACGCAGAGAAAAGAATAGGAATTCGAAAAAAATCGCAGGCGAGACCCGCCCTCGCGCAGCAGCAGCAGCTAGCCCAGCCATCTAGGCCCCTCGCCCGTCCCCTTCCAGACGCCAGCCCGGGGTCCGCTGCGCCAGCGAGCGCAGCGCCCCCGCGCGCCATCCCCGCCCTCCAGCCCGGCGGCCTCCTCTCGTCGATCGGGCACAGACAACCTCCCTCACTCGTCCGCATGCACGCCAAGGCAAACGCATCAACCGGACTTCATTTCATTCATCCCCACAGTTGCCCTCCGAGAGAACGCCGCCGATGCCCACCGATCATCCGCGGCTCAGCGCATCACCTTGTCTTCGGGCTCTCCTCCTCCCCCTTGGGGGCCTTTTCCGCAGGCGGATCGGGTCGGCTGGCCCCCGACGCGCACGGCCGCCAGTCCCCCGGCTGCTCGATCTCTCGTGACTCCGCCGCGCGCACCATCATGGCCACCTCGCTGCCCAGGGCCATCCCGCCCGCCGCCACGGCGCCCGCGCCCAGCAGGGACACCCCCGCGTACACCGCACGGCTCATCGACCCACGGGGCACCTGCGCCAAAGATTGGGCTGCTCAAAAATAGGCGCATCAGCGGCACGGGTGAAAAGAAAAACATAGCAAAAAGGAGAGGAAGGGGGATCCGCCCAACTGACGCTGGGGAGAAGGGGACACGCCCCAGTTGACAAGACCCGTCGCACGTGTTGGCGCCCATGGACAACCATCGCAAGGGGAGGGACAAGGCAGGATGTTCGCCAGGCGTGATGTTTGACCCGAAAGCGGCCCGGACAGAAGAAAAACGGGGCGGAAGATTTGCAGCAAAGGGAGGCCAAAATCGAAGCCAGGTCGGCGCCAGCCGCCTGGATCAAGCGAAGAGAAGATGAGCGGTGTTTCCCGGGTGTCACCTGCGCACGGCCGCGCCGGACGCTGTTTCCAATGCCTCCGATGAGGGGCCGATCGAGGGCGGGCCGGAGAACGGGGAGCCCTCTCGAGGAGAGGCGGTGGGCGGCGGTGCTGGCTTCGGTGTCCTCGGGAGCCAAGCTGGAATCGAGGTATGTGCGGCGGCTGGTGAGGGGTTGCGAGGTGAAACAGGGGGAAGGCTCAAGTGATGACAGACAGGGAGGGGGAAGGCAAGAAAACAGAAGTCTACTCACTGTCTCCGCACTGCCAACAATTGCTCTACCAATTGCTGAACCAACTGGCCACGCTGACGAAGGCAGGGTCGAGGAGTGGCGACCCCTGAACGGGGCCTGCAAGCTGGAGTCCACGGCAAAGGTTTACAGCCGAGCAAAGCGACAACAGGAGTTCTGTCCCTTATATCCAGTCCGCTCATGAATGTCCTTGGTGCCATTCCAAATGCCTCATCACTTCTTTATGCGTCCAGCTGTTGGTAATACTCAATCCGTTCTAGTTACAACAGCCCCACCAATGATTTATCGAACTCTGTAACAGGACCAGCAGCATGACAGGGAGGGTTTGAGCAACCGACACAGGAATCGCGTGATTAGCCGTTGTGTCGTTTTTCCTACAGGTCGCAGTCCTAGAAATACGCTCAGAGGCCATTTCGTCTTTGTCTCTTCCCGCCTCGCCGCAGGGTACGTTTCCAATGTGACAGCCACTTGGCAACGCACGTGCAAAGCTTACAACCACTTGCATCGCTTTGTTGTCTTTATCCAATCATAAGATTGTGACGCACGTCCTTTAAGAATACAATGCTAGGCAGTAGATTAGTAATACTGCAAGTCCTTCAGCAGCTGCTGCTGGCACAGCCAGCTCTCGTTGGCAACAGGTTTCCTCAATAGCAGTGAACAGGTCATGCTGGGCTGAAGACAGGCGGTGTTGGAACCCAGTATCAGCTGCACCACCCCTTTGAACACTGCTTCTTGTGAGCCCGTCTGCCACAAATGCCCCTTGACAAGATTTGTGCACGGTACAATGTGGCATGCAGCACAATGGGAGCGCACACTGTTGACTGTTGCATTACAAGAAGTGACATTTCATCAGTATTTCATCATCACTTGGACCCAGTTGCTAGATATTAGTCATTGGCCTGCACAATGTCAATAATGGCCTGACTGTAACCCTACCTTCAATGGGTCACACTTTCTGTCAAACATGCACTCAGGATCCTTACATTAATGTACAGTCATTGAGTTCTAAACGCGCAAAAGCATTTTACCATCCCATCCACTCTCATTGGCACAACGCCTGCCTGCAAACAGCCCACCTGGATTCTGGCTGTCTTTACGTTCTGGACGTCTTCAAACAGTTATACTGTCATAAGCAATCTAAAATCCCAAAGCAACGTACTGCGATCAACCACACTGGCATTACACTGTTGTCCAATCCACTGAGGTTACACCGCGGAAAACGAAACGCCACTATCTAATCTGGTTCCGTTTATCCACTTGACAATGCTTGTTTGTCCTGGGAAACAAAGGGAAGCTGAGGCAACGGAAAAGGGGTTGGAGGAGCAGATGTGTGCTCATTACAAGGCTGGCAACGATGGTTACATCTAGGTTTTGCACGAGACCAGCATCTCGCATTTCTCCTTGCTCATTCTGCCTTCTTCCAGCGTCTTCAACAATGGCGATGGAGAGGTGCCGAAGAGCCTGTGCATGGATAGGGCCTTTGAAGGGTGGCATACCCAGTCGATGATGTAGTCTGTGCTCACACAGAGCACTCCAGAGTCCAACAGCTGCTTCACCACTCTATGACACACAGACACACACATTATTTGCAACTCGTCCATTCGCTCAGGTGGCAGATGGTGGTGGAAGCCGGGTGTGAGATTCTAGCCAATGGCCATATAGGAGATTTACTGCCAATGGCTGGAGAAATGATGTCAAGCAGTCCTGAATCCATAAGTGTCCTCAACAACAAACCTACCAAGCAATCACAGCATCGCATGTGTTTGTGCCATCTGACTCCATAGAGCACTGCAAAGAGGGGCCTTAGCTGATTGGCTGCAGGTGCAATGGGGACGTGGCAGTTGTTTAGTGACTGAGAGCTACGACAAATCAAGCTACAGTTGCACCACAGCTGCACACTGTCCGAGATCTGCCCAATATGTGCAAGGTCTGTGCTTTGCCATGCGTGTATGGCATAGTGCAGCCCTTCATTTGTTCATATGCTCTTGCAACTGCATGGCAAAACAGATTGCGATGGAATGTATGTTGCAGATACATGCACGGAAAGATGGCAGCTTACAGCTGTGTCTCCTTGAATCGCCCAATACACAAATGGGCAGTCATTTATCAAAAGATGGGCAGTCATTTATCATGCTCTGATGATCGCGATCAAAAGCACACATGGCCATGCATCTGTTAATTCAAAAGTACATTCAAAGCAGATTACAAGCAGCAATGGCACCCTCAAACATCCAGGAGAAGGCAAATCAGCCCCAGCTCCAGTCACTAAATCAGCTGCCCCCATTCTCTGCATATCAGCCAATGCTATCTCACCTGTCCGATTTTGGCTTTTCTTTGCCCACCACAGCAAGATTGATCCCCTGGCTTTCGTATGACAAGGAAGACGGGTGTTTCACAACACGTCCATCACCGGCACATATGATGCGCCGAATCGTCTCTTCACCGGGTGGCCCCACCTTTCCATAAATGACTGCGGTGATGCCATCAAAGGCGCCTGCACCTGTCAGCACCCTTCGAGTGCGCCAATGCGCAGGAGCCCCTGTGCGGCACACAAAACGTCTTGCACTCTGAATACTCTACATTGAGTGCAAAAACCTGCATCACATTGATTAAGCAATGAATTCAACAAGCAATACAATGTAGAGCACTACCTACCTTATTGCATGAGCTAACAAGAATCATTGGTGTATCAAGCACACCATGCTCGCCTGTTGTCCTCTCAACAAGAAATGCAATGTCAGGTCACATTTAAAGAGCGGTTGACGACACAGCTCTCAAAACTCGCGATCTAGGTGCAGTACACACAAGTTGCTAAATGGAACATTGTCTACAATACTCATGGAATGGACCTATACTCATGGTATCCAACAACTGCATGCATAGGTATACATCGTCCCTTCCAAGCACTGCATTGACAATACCAACTGAGGTCATCACTGCTAGCAGAACACAAGAAGATATTTCAACAATGTATGGCCTTTCGACAGTAGATCTCTTCCACAAGTTTGAGCTCACAGTCACCAGGGTCAAACATTCTGTGCCAGAAGCACATCAATTCAGATATTGTCAACAACCTAATGCGGTAAACATTGGTCACCTCCATGCCTAAACACCCCTAAGCATCTGACCTTTGGATATTGCATCTTCTTTGCCTTTCTGGAGTTCGTAGTCAGCAGGGTCCAACATTCTGTGTTTCCTGGCACATGCTTCAACGTAGCCGGTGCTGACAAACCAGCTGCCAGCAGCCATTCCACACACAGTCTTCTCATTCCTCTTCAGTGATGGAGACACTATGTGTGTGATGCTATTCACCCACTGATGTTTTGCATCGTGGGCACCTGCACCACGCATCAATACAATCCCAAGGTTTGCCATTTCTGCACTTTAGAAGTAAATGCATGCGTTTTCTTTGTGCTCAATATTGAGTGCTGTGCCTAACCAAGCCAAAATGGATAATGTCAAGTGCATGCCATGGGTTGTGTGCACATATCACAACAAAATCTCGCAGCATCAGAATGGAGTGCCAAGAAAGTGTGCACCTTGCAGTGTAGGCAATGTGCATTGGCTACAAGGTCATTACAAATGAAGACCATTGCTGTTTATGTTGTTCTCTGAACGCTTGGCAAACGCAAGATGATCCAACGCTATCTCTGGTTCATGTGGTGGCAAACCTAGTCAAAGTTCATTTCATGAGGGGGCTCACCGGAGGTGCACTGAACGTGAAGACCAGCCAGGACTCCTGAGTACCGCAGCCTTTGCGATGAGTGTACCCCACTGAGAGCCACCACCATGTCCTTCTTTTCAGCTCTGGGCCCCACATCTGACATTCGCAACCTCTTGGAATTGCTAGCTTCTGCCCCCGCCGTGTCGCCACACTCCCTTTTTGCCATCTCTTTCCCACCCCTCAGCCCACTCTTCCTTGCAGCTCTTTGTGGCACAGTCAATGGTGTTTCTGCACCTCTCTTGGCTTTCTTGAAAGCATTTCGCCTCCCTGACGTTGAGGGCTGGTGCTCCACCAGCCCGTTCTGTTCCTGGCTGGTGCAAAGCTCCTGCCCAGCACCCTGCCCCCCATGTTCGCCATCTGCACCTGTCTCCACAGCTGATCGCTTGCCTGTTGTGGGCCTCCCAGTTTCCTCCAAGTCGCCTGAAGTCCCCTTTGGTGTGTCCCTTTGCTTTCCAGATGATGCACTTCCCGACATTCTTGGCGCCTTCCACTTCCTTCTTGCCATGCCTGTTGCAGCACCATCTCCCCCATGTTCACAAAGGCCATTTGCAGCCGGTCCTGGGGCATCGCTTCCTGTAGGCAGCTGCTGTGCTCCCTTGGCACATGTCCTATGCGCTTTTGCCACCACCGAATCCCCAGCAGTACCATCTTCTGCACAGTGAAAAGGCTTTGCTTTGTCATCTGCAGCGGATGCAGTCCCAACAATTCTCTCCTCCACATTCAAATTCCCATCTGAAGCATCGCCCTTATGTTCCCCTGCAGTGCTGCCAGGAGAAGTGGTTGCAGTTTCCCTTGCATCATCAAGACACACGTTGGGCGCCTCCTGCAGGTCTGCAGGTGTAGGTGGACTACCAGGCCTCTCGCTTATGGGAGCTGTCTGCATAGCACATGGATTACCAGAAGGATCTGAATGCCCCAGATTCTGATCCCCAGACTGCCTGACTGAATCCATGCCTTGTACTTCGGTGCCTATACTGGGATCGTCCACAGCCTCAGTAGCAGGAATCTCTGGAGTGGGCTCCACTGCAGGAGTCAGCTGAAAATCCAACTGGCCGATGGTGGCAGCTGCCATGCCCACCTGCAGATACAAAAAGGATGATAAAGGGGGCAAGGAAACGGCAGTTGGGGAGCAGGCAAAAGGGAAAGGCACATATGTACAATGCAATTATCTGGAAACGAGGGTCCAATGCAAGCGGCCCAGGCAAACCTGTACTGCTGCACGACTGACCAATTTCCGTGAAGCAATCAAGTACTCGGTGTGATCAAGCGATGCTTGAGGATTCAGAAGGCCTCCTGGTTGTTGATCCATTCTCTGCATGGTTTTGCTTCTATCAACTGACCACTGCACATAGGGTGATTCATCCACCAGCAAACACACAGGATCGCTGTGCAGTAGCAGATGATTCACTGTGCCGGCATCCCTTGCTGAGTTTTCTACTTGGATGCCACTATAGAAGCATGCAACGTTGAGGAGAAGCGAAGCGTGTGTGTTGTTCACTGTTTTATTCCTATTTCGCCAAATAACTTCTAGAATGTCGACAATGTCATTCATACACAACATCAGTTGGATTCAACTTTGAATTCATGATTAAACAATCCAAACTCAAACTTTTAACACAAATGATGGATTGTTCAACAGCATGTTCGACACAACAATAACACGTGTTGGCACACCACAGACAGAGAAGACAGTATTCATTGACGAACAATTCCATGCAAGAGTGCCTCCAAATCTTAGAATGCAAATGCTGCAGCCAAAGCCAGACGTCTTTTCTGGCCTGAGCATCCGCGAGTTAATCTTTCCAACCATTCAGCAAGGAAAGCTGTGGGCATGTCTCAACAGCAATAGTCCACAGCACAGCCATGAAGGACCTGGCATTCCATGGATGCCATCCAATACAGCAGAAGAAGCATTGCATCATGCAGGGCCCACCTGTTGCAGGCCGTCAAGGCCTTCAGATGCTGCTCCGCATGTAAAGGACACCATCTCTGAAGCCCCTTGAGGCATCTTGCTGCCGATGCTGCCCTCTGCATCATTACAGGGGGGATGTTCGTGGGCCTCTAGTGATGTGTCCCTCACAGCCTCACCCTCCCCTCTTTCAGGCACTACTGCCTTCTCAGGTCTGCAAGAGACATTGCTGTTAGGACCTTCGTCCATTTTGTGCCCAGCAGCTTTGGAGTCTTTGGGAATTTCTTCCAGCCGATTCCCTACGACTTCTGTTTCACACGGAGTTGTGGATTCTTGCTGCATCTGTGGCGTTGCTAGGATTTGTGCTCTGGCAGCATCTGATGACACTCCATTCTCCTCTGGGCTTTCTGGCACAGCAGTGCTTGTGTAGGGGCCTGTTATGGAGCAGCGCCGAAAATTGAGCAAAATAGTAGCACTGTGTGGGAAGCCAGGGGTTGCTACAGATTGACAGTGCACAACACGGGCAGAACCCACAAGCAGCAGATCCGGGAATTTTCACGGGACAGAGAACCTGTGCTGTGGTGATCAAAGGGGCATAAACACAAGTGTGAGTGAAGACGCTCAAACAAGTTGCTCTAAAAACACAAATGATCTTGGATACAGCAGTGCATGGTGTACAACAACTTGAAAACCCTTTTTGGGACTTCTTACCAATTTGATGGCTTCAAATCTGCAACCAGGCCAGGAGGCAACTCAGGCAGCACAAGCCCAACATATTTAGAAAGATATCAGTGCCCTACCAAACCAAACATCAAGCAAGCAGGTGCATAGTTGAAGGACGTCACTCAAAGCAGGGTAGGTGCGGTTTGGGCGCACCCTCCGGGACATGTCGCCATTGAGCAATACAATCGTTGAGCCACATCTTCGACACGATCTTGACGGTGCTGCATCTGGTAAAGGCCACAGACAGGTGTCAGGGAGAGCTAACATTCGTTACATTTTACTGATTCCAAGACAGAAGCTCCAGCCCAAAATTTTTCTTACTGTAAACTGCTGATGTTCATTCATTTGCTTGGTCTATTCACACATGCATCCATTTATGGATTGCAGCAATACTAGCTGGGGTACTGGCTGCAGTGTTGGCTTGTTGCACAAAAGTGTTTCAACAGCGGATTCAGGTCTGAAGTTGATTGCATTCAAATATAAAATGAAATGCACAATAGAATCAATCTGCAAGTTTTGAGTTGATGCGACCCAAAACCAACACTACATTGAAGGTGGACCCCAACTTTGAAGCATGCTAGGCAAGCCTATTCCATCAATGAAAAGTAGAAGCTGGGCTGGTAAGGGAAGCACTGAATGTTTGGGCCTGTGCAGTCCTTTTTCGCACCGGCACATTGGCCAGCCCCTGCCTTCAAAGCATGGAACAGCAGTTGCGATTTATTCATACGTGCTTTACAAGTATGTGTGGGGGGTGGATGAGGTTGAGGTCATGGCACAGTCTGCAGCTTGCACACTGAACAGCAAAGAATGGGCGGAAGAAATGACAATGACTTGTACAACAGTTTGGGGGAATCAGCACGATGCTAACCATCAGCACATGATACAGCCAGAGCCCCAAGCAAACAACAACCCTCACCGTTTGGCTGACTGTATCTTCTGCGAGTTGGATGTAAGGTCGTTCGCTATCAGGTGGCTCGTTTGGGTGGGCACTGTGAGTTGTCCCGAGTAGCAAGCCCCAGTGCACTCACATAGATAGCGAACCATCAGCCTCTCGTGGCTCTGTGTGTGTGACAGCGATCAGTCACACAAGGCCAGACTGACAATAAGGGAGTTATTGTGAAGAAAATGGTACGATGGCAAGTGGACAAATCTCAAACAATTCAAGAACATTGAGCATAGCTGTAGAATATCCGATTCAAATCTGGCAATTAGATCATGCAGGGTATGACCGGAGCCACACAGATGTGCCTGATGGTGATGAAGACATCGCCAAACATGTCACAATGCAACCACTTCCAGAGGTACCATTGTGCGAAATTGCAACCATTGAGTACAGGCCACCTACCTTGAATTCAGATATTGTCACCTCTTTCACGTGCTCTGTGAATCCTGGAATGTACGGCCCTGGGAATGGCTTCTGAGAAGGCATGCAATACACAGCAGTTAACAACGAGCAAAAGCAGACACCACAAAGGCAAGGCAAGTCAGTCCTTGGAGACTGGCACAGCCTCTCCAGCCTCTCCGATGGCGAGGAAAGGAAACGCACAAGCAAATTTGCCCACGACGGAGGGCTTGGCTGTATGACATTGTACATGTTTTGTTCCTACTGGGAGAATCGTTGGCAACAGTCGATGTGTGGCACAGGTTCGTGTTGTGGTGCAGGAGCAAAGAGGCAGGCATGCTCCTACATGCTCCTGCACCACTGGATTTGTTAGCTGCTTGCGGCTCATTCATGAACACGTAGTGTGGAACGGGCAAAGTGGTTCTCGAAAACGCCTGTCTTGCCTTGCAGGTGGTGCAGAGTATCACTGCCTTTGTCATATTTGCCAACAAGTGACAAAGCGCTGCCATTGACCCTTGAAATTGTCATGAGCATAGCTCCAGGCATTTGCCCAAGTGCATCCCATCATCCCCATCAACTCACATCATCCAGGAACTGTGGCTCCACACGTTCAACTTATCGTTGCCACTCCACTGAGAATCCAGACAGCTTCAAATGTTGGAATCGTTCACAAACATAGAAAATCCCATTCTGTCCCCAACACCATTTCTTGCAGCAGGGGGCATTTCACACGAGTAAGCCAGATCGCCACCGGCATCCAGACATAGCGAGCACAAATCGACGCCTCCCGAACCCCCTCGATTCCCCATCCTCAGTACATCAATCTGATCTCTTGGATCCCCAATCTGTGCAACCAACACGCCGTCAAATGCAGGTTGTGTGGGCGCATCACCTCCTCAATCGGCAGGAGCTCTTTCCTCATGATGCAGCGGTACGGCCACATGGGGGACGCCAGCCGCACCCCGCGCGCCTCCGCCTCCCTGCAGACGCCCTGCTGGCGGTGGCGGGCCACGACGTGGGTGCAGGCGGGCTCAAGCGTCCGGCAGACGCGCCCGCCGAAAGTGCCTGCAGGAACACCGGCCGGCCCCCGATCTGAGCTTCCCCTCCTTCGCCTTTTCTCGTTCCTCGCGGTGCCCGTGTTTTGCGCTTTTCTTGTTGCACCGGGATCTCCACATCACCTCCTCATAGCATGGAATGGAGACTCGCACAAACTTGCTCAGGAGAGGTGCCCATTGTAAGACCTGTTTCCCTTTCTCTTTGTAACAAACCTCCCCACCCCCCCAGCCCACCCCCACCCCACACACACATCCGGGCGTTTTCGCCACCACCGCGACTCGCGCAAAATTACGATGTCGCGCCACCAACAAAACGAGCGCCAAATGGCGTGCTCGGACGCCGCGCGGAGCCCCCCTCCCGGAAGGGCCTGGGGGGCCAGGGGGCCCGACGCCGCTCACGTATCCACTCCGCCACCACGGACGACAGGTCGCGCCCCTTGCCCCAGTCGCCCACGCCGTCCAGGTCGATGTGGAAGACGATGCCCTGCGCATCGCCGGCAAACAAATTTTGTTGGCAAAACGCCGTCGTTTTCGGCTCCATCTTTCGAGGAGGGGATAGTGGGATCAAAGAAGTGCACCGAGGGTGTAGGGTCATCCCTCCTGGGGGTTCGTGGCCACGGCGGTGAGAGATGCGCGAGCCAAGCAAATTGTGGCCAGGGGGCGGGGGGTGGGGGCGGATGGCTGATCTGGCCGGACCTGGAAGATCTGCGGCTGGCAGTCGGTTTGGTCCATGGTCGCGCGCCTCTGGCAGCGTCGGACCGCTTCCGGTCGCGGAGGGCGGTGGAGGGCCCGCCCCTGTGCTGAGCTTTCGCCTCGGCCGCGACGATGCTTTGGCGCAAGGTGGCATTCCCCCGGGCTTTTTTCTGTACGCCACCGGCCCAAGAATCACTCTGTGAGCCGATGGGACGGTTACGCTTAGTAAGCAAGTTTACGGGAGGCCCGGAGAATGGGCGGGCGAAAAAATTGCTGGCCGGACTGTGTCCCGTCAGCGCTTGGATAGTTTGGGCGCGAACAGTCGGGTACTGTGGCCCAAGGCGGGAAAAGTTCCTTGGGGCCGGCCCTCGGCTTGACTGGGGACGTGACTGGCGGCGGCGACGCCTTAGGAGGAGACGCGCCGTACAGCTGCACTTTGTTTTCTCCCCGCCCGCCCGCTCCTTGGGGTTTTTGGTTTGTTTCTTTTGGTATCGTTGGGACTTCGCTTGAAGCTGGACAGTTGGGACCGGAATAGGCACTACTTGGACTACGGGTGATATACCCAGTTTGGGATTGACGGAAACCTTCGACTGTTTGGGATGGTGTTGGACATGTGTTCGTTTGACCATTGGGCAACGTGGATATTTTGTCACTTTGTGACGTTCTGAATATGTAATTGTAATTACATGTTCAGCCTGCCATTGGGCGGGTAGATTCGCAGGGCTGTACCGTAAATGGCAGTGACTGCTCCATCATTGACAGATGGTTGTCTGACAATAAAGGGGCACGGCTGTCCGTGACCTCAGCATTGTCTCCAAGCTCGTGGCTGTGCCTGCCTCCGACATAGTCCCACCCCGAACCTAGCGTATTGGCGTCTCCTCGCGACGAGTGCAATTCCGTTCAACATTGCCGAAAACAGACCTGCGAGACAACAGGCCTGTAAGACCTGTGGTGCATGACAAGTACGTTGTTCCGTTGTGCCCTGAACTCTTGCTGGTTTTACAAGTCTTCTTGAGGTTTTGTTCGGGGTGCCAGGTTATTTGAAGAGGAATCTGCAGAGAATTTGGGACCTGTTGTGGAAAGGGAAGATAAAGACGCCTTGATGGAGCGATGACGAAGGCTACGACGTTGAGCGCGCCACAGCAACACATTCCACACTGTACTACGCTTTGCATGTGTCAACCTGTGCACTAAGGAGGGCGCAGCGTAGGCATGTGGCACCACAGTAGATAGGATTAAACCATTAGACAAAGTCGCCAAAAAGACAAAGCCGTTGTCCCTCCACCTTGAAGGCAACGTCGCTGTTGACTCTACGCGCTCAGTGAGGCACAGTTGTCAGGCAGACGTGTCAGCATTTCGTAAAGCGATCGGAGCTGTGAGGTCAGCATCGAAGCACCAGTGAGGGCCCCACGTGGCGACCCGGACCGGCATGGTGGCACCACATCCTTCCCAGTGTGTCGCGCCAAGTTGTGCTTCCTTGCATCAGTAAACTGCGCCTATGCTCATACTTGGAAGAGTACTGGCCCCAGCCGACAGCGCCCCACCCGCCTTGCAGGCGCAAGGGCCCTTCGGCAATCGCTGTCAGCAACGACTGTCATCATCATCAACATGATGAAATGTGGACACTGCATTGCGTCCAGGTTCTGTAAAAGCTTGAAGCAATCACGTCGTTTGGGGGTGCGGTGTGGTGTGCGTTCTTCACAGGAGATCGGCGAGTTCTTTTGCTGGCAGCTACCCTGTGTAGGGTAATCAGAAACAGTGCAGCTGGAACGGCAGCTTCCGCTTGTCAACTCTGTGGCACACCGCCTCGCACAGGTAAATGGCAAAAGCAACCGAGTTACATTACAAATGGCGGCCATATGTATGGCATCCCCGCTGGCGACGGTGGGCAGCGCATTCACCTCCGTCTCTGATGTTATGTGTTGGTAAACGAAACAGGCGCGAAGTCGCGAGCCCTATGTGAAACACTACTGGCGGTAGCCGCCCTACACGAGTCAACGCACATTGGTGGAGAACACTGCCGCCACGTTGCTGCAGCAGTCGTGCCACAGACGGACGAGTTTTGTGACTGTGACAGGCCTCTGGGTCCGTGCCAGCGCACCCTGCAGATCAACGTACGTTGAGTTAATTGTGGCCAATGCTACACTCCGACCTCCATACATCCTTGTAGCACACTGTTCCAAACAAATGCATTGCACAGCACACATGAAGCACGCCAATCATGACTAACACTGCATTCCAGCGTGCAGGCACTCTCAACACATGACGTGTTGCTTTCAGAGATTCCGAATCCACCAGGCTCCATGCGTCAAGCAATTGCGACAAACTCCATTCCAGCTTCCACACGTTCTCACCATGCATGGCCAGAGTTCAGGTAGTTTGTCAGGACATTTGCTGTGTGCTGGCCATGGTGCAGGCCCCATTTCACACTCCACATACTTTCCACATACTTCCATTGGCTTCCATTTACATTACGCACTTTCAACTTCTTTTCACATACATCTATTGCGCACATTCTTGACTTACAACAGGCTGAATCCAGGGTGCACTCAGGAACACGAGCAGCAATACAATTTTTGTTATGATAACGCAACCGACCTGCCAACGTCCAGAGAAAGAACACAATCAAGGGCATATTAGCTGTGCTAGCATATGGGACCTTGTAAGTTGCCAGCACCAGAACTGACACTGCATCTCATCACCTTAAAATACTGCAACAACATACCGCAAACGCCAGTGCCAAGCACGATGACAGAAAGAAAAACGCAGCAGATGCTGTCATGCACTCCTCACACATTTCCCCACAGATACTCTGGCACAAGATGCAAGCCCGGCAACCAACCCCTGCCTCCCTCACTCTTTCCATGCGCTGGGTTGCCTTTGTACGAATTGTCAGCCTAATGCTCCACAGTGAGCACTGACATGCCTTGCCCAAATTGAATTGCTACAGGCTGATACAATATACCTATGCTGAGCATGATTTGTTTGTCGCCATCGCCTTGGTGGTACTTTGAAGGCGCAAGGTGCCATGATTCCACCTACTGACAAGCGCAAGCAAAGCTGACAACTGGTGTTGATATCAAGGGAAGTACAGGACTCAGATTACCTCAAATCGTATTCGCGCCGCCTGTGCTTCTGGCCACGAATAGCCCTCATCAGTGGACTTGAAAACAGCTCTTGGGGCACTGCGAGGGTAATTGCAGCCCACCGCCAGGCGCAGGCGCTTCCACCGCCCCTGCAGCCAACAACAGCACGCATCATGACAACTTCTTGACCAGTCAATTGACATTGATCCCATACAGGGCAAAGTCTTGCGCATACTCTGCATTGCATCGACGAGTTGGCCAAACATCTGAATGGCATTGGCAGCACATCACCACATATCTGGACAATATCAAATGGCCATTTGGCAGCAGGGCAACTGTCCTTCTGGTCGTACATGCTTGAAATAGCCATGGTGCACAGTTCGCTGCTGTTCAAGAACAACATTGCTGCTTAAAAGTGTTTGAAAGAAGGTAAAAGATCACATTATCATCAACACACAACCAACAGCCAGATGACCTCCTTTGATACGAAAGTTGTTCCTGCTCCCAAACAAACATCAACACATGACACGGCCACATCAGCCACGGTGATGCCACTTGTGTTCATTGCACTCACCCGCAGCCCAACCAAAGGACCAAGCTTCCCTCCTTGGCCTTGTGTTTCACAGGCGTCAACAATGACAGCATTCACGTCATCCTCCATTGCACTATCTCTGTCCAACTGAATCCGCAGGCTGCCACGGAATTCGGTCCTCAGCTTCTCACACTCGTCTTCCAAGTCCTGTCTGGGCCGTTTCCTTTTGCCCAGTTTGGACCCTGTCCCAATTTCCAATGCCACTGTCGAATTCTGTGCGCCTGTGGAGGCATGCAGCACCTCAGGATAGGGCATTGCCAGATGAGACCATTTGGTATGTGACTGCAGTGGTATGTCAGCGGCCATATTCTCCAAACTGCCTGGATGGTCAAACCGTGAAACCATTGCTTGAACCCAAGAAGTGTGACTGCATTTGTTCCAGGTTTCCACCTGAGTGCCGCAGATGCTGCTGCAGTGTGGCCAGCCACTAGAAATTCGTCTGTTGCTGCCATGGCAGTGCACTGCAACACCAACAATTGCTGACTCTACTCACTGACAGGCATAGCTTTACAATATTGCTTGCTCAATCTCCAACCTGCCTGCTGCTTGTTTTCCTGTTCGACCCACAGCGGTGGGAAAGAAACTCGTGTCATTTGCTAACTACGAAATTCCCCTTCAATGCCAGTTTGTGCTCGCAAGACTGATGCAAGCCAACCAATGCAACATGCAGGCAGTAAGCAACAAAAGAAGTAGAGTGAGACAGGGGTTGTGAGAGAGACCAAGAGTACGGTTACATGCACTGTACTCAGGCCTTGCTGCCATTTCACTTGCCTTCCTTTACACCCTCAGTCAGAATCGATGGGTGGCCCTCCACAGAAAACACTTCTGTTGCTCGACTCCGCCAGGTCGGAGGCCTGCGGCCTTCACTTGGTGTGGAATCGTATGGGCCTGCCTCCCCCCCATCTGCATCCAGCACAGGCGGGGGTGGTGGGCGCATGTCAGCATGGCGCCTGGGGCACATACCACGGAAGGCACGTGCAAAGTCGGCAGGGGATGCTGCATGCAGCAATGTGATGAGAGCTTCGATGGGGTCACGTTCCTGCAACCTTCCATCGCCTGGTTTGTCGCCACTGTCAGACATTGATTCGATGCGCTTGCAGCAGAAACAAGAAAACAGTCAGCTCCACAGGGCAAGAACGTTGGATCAGGACTCATAACACCCATAAGTGTGTGCAACAGCACCACCATGACCACAGCTAATGCCTCTGCTTGGGATAATGGTTGTGGGGCAAATAGTCCTGTCAGTAGTTTTCCAAAGGCATGTTCCGATTTTGACTGATACTGAACTGCAAACGAGCAGTTTGGCATTTCCTGAACACATGAACCACAACCATACACCTTCACCAATGAAAATGGACCGAAATTGCAGTTGACCATGATAGTATTTCAGCTGACTCACTTGCACCACACAAGGCATCAGGACTGACCCATGGCCAGACAGTCTCACGTGCAGTGGTCCCAAAACAACCCTCAGCTATTACATTCAACACAGCAACATTAAACAGGGGCAAACTCTGGAGATGCCAAACTGCAATCTTATCCTCCCTCATCTGCCCCATGAGTTCTGGAACTTGTGATTCAAAAAACTGCAAGTAGCCTGAATAGGCACCAAACACCTGCTGCACCATCTGCAATAACATCAACAAAACCCCAGACACACTGGGTCAAGACTACAATGACAAGCAAACAACAACTGAAGAGCCTGGTCAAATTGCCCCACATATGTTTGGGGGCCAAGCTGCCTGGGCAAAAGCTTTTGCTTGTCTGGTGAATGGACAGAGCCAAGAGTTGCAAGCCAGTGGTGTGACAAGGTACCATAGGTGCACTCACTGGCAACACATCTGCTCCTGGGGGCGCTGGGATGATCTCCACCTCATCGTCCTCCTTTGCAGAAGATAAGCTGGTTAGATTGTTCACGACTTGTGTAGGTGTTCCAACCAAGGCTTTGTTGGGCCCAGCCTGTTGTGTCGTTCGCTCGCTCACAACCGGTGGTGATGTAATCTGGAATGGCTTTGATGCTGTCTGCACCTGTGCAGGAGACCACCTGAATGTCAGCTCTCAGGCCAGGGCATCTGTTGCCTGTTTGGAGCAAACTGCAGCAGTTCTGCAAAAGGTGCGCTGCAAAAGTGGACTCTCCACCCTGTTGGTAGTGTTTACTCATTGGTTTGTACCCAAATGGTAAACTGGCCCTGTGCCCCTGTGAGAGGGTGTGGTGCATATGGTGCTCCCACATGTAGCCAGTGACCAGAGCTTCACATGCATTGTCCAACACCCACACATTCAGTAGCCAGTAGACCTGCAAGATGCATCTCCTGTCTTCTACGATAACACCCCATTCCCTATTTGCCAGTTGCTGGTGACAGCCACCACCCTTGTCACATAGGCCAGCAGTGCATGTGCCCATTGTCTCGTTTCCCTTGAGCCACAGCTCCACAATTTGTTCTCCACCACCAGAGTTTGGCCATTAGTGAAACATTGGTGATGGATGCAGGTGCCCAATATGCATTACTCAAATCCACATGCAACGCGGCCATTGTGTCTGGCACTATTGCTTCTGCAGGTAGGTGCCTCCATCCACAGTGGATCTTCCAAGGTCTTCTCAGCACCATATAATACGGGGAATCATGCTTTCAGAAGGGGCAAGCAGCACTTGCTGTGCTTGTTACAGCCAACATACACTGGCATATATTTCACATATTTCCTTTATCTCCTTTGCCAGCCAGATTCCTGAGCAGTCCAATTCTTTGCTTCCCAGATGTCGAAATGCACACCTCAAGTGCCATAGCAATGTGACAGCTGGAAGCAAGAGTGCAAGCAGGGACGCGTCACCCTGCATGAAACCTGGATGTAACCCACAGCGAATGGAATAGACATCAACAATGAGTGTGGAGAGTGTTGATCTTGGGCAATTGAGCATCGGCTAGATATCTGCGCCTGTCATTGCCTGTAAGGTTCAAGGCCTTGTTAGTAATGCTACTCTGACAACCAGAGTCGCAATCTGGCAATAGCTGGTGGGAAGGCTACCTGTCCCATAGTGTCGTTAAGTCCCAAGAACGCTTGACCACCCTGCCCGCCTGCCCCTGCTGTGGTGCTGGGCCCAGCCCTTGAGAACAATGGCATCCCAATCACAGTTCCTGCCAGGTTACACGTCTCTGTGGTGGGCACTGCCGGGCTCCACTGATAGCAGTGCACCCATTGGGCATTTGCATCCTGGATGCAGGGGAGCAATTACCCCAGAGTCTTTCAAGCTACTTTCTTGAATTTACATTTATTCACTTTTGTAAATGTGCAATCACTCTCTTATTCTAACGATATGCGCTTGTGCACTTGCAGGCTCCATTGGTGTTGCAAGGGTGATCTGGTGTGGGGCCTTGGAAGCAACCCAGTGGCAGTTGTGTCTGTCATGTGCATGGCAGAACACAACTGTGTTCATACAACTGATGACAAATGAAGGATGCACAATTGTGAGACTGCACCACAACAAACCATTCACATGCGGCTACACTGGTCAAAATTTTTTCAACGGAACAACTGCAAGCTTAACAGCACCCCTGAAAAAGAAGGACAACCAGCAATGGTGCAACACAAAACAGAAATGTAGACATACAAAATGTAGAAAGTAAGCATACAAAATGTGGAAATGTCAATTGTAGAAATGCAGAGAGTAGGGAAATGTGCCCTTGTACAATAAAGGTGGACAAAAAGAAGAAAGTGTGCTTCAGTGCCCTTCTCTTCCAGTACCTGTGTCGAGGCGCCATTGGGGATGCCTTGGGCACCATGATCTGCACCACTGGCAGGGGGAAATGGATGCTGACTGCCCATTGGAGAAGCCACAGGCTGGGTTGTTGGGGGTGTCGTCACACGTACGCCGGTCGATGCCACTTGTCTTCCCTCCAGTTGCTTCCTTTGTTGGCTCTTGCGTCGCAGGTGTTGCGTGATTTCCTGAACCCTCACAGCATAAACCGGGATCTTCTCCTCCACCTGCTCCAGTTTTCTGCACATCTCAGGAGTTATGGTCGTCTTCCCACCACTGCGCCACAGTTGAGAAAAAAATTTAACAGCTCTTGAACAATAGCGTAGATGGAGTTATGCCCGTCACTTGCCTTGCTGCTGTATGGGTAGTGTTTTGTGTCATTTCAGCACGTGTGCCCAAAATTTGACACCATGTTCACTGCACAACCCTGTGAGTTTGGGACATGGTGGACAGATTTCAGTGAACGAGTTGATGACAGATGTTGCTCCAGTTTGCCAGCACAGAATTTTCAAGCAGCCAGTCAAATGCCAAGCAAAACGCGAAGGGCTGTGCACCAACCAAGGGCCTGGTCAGGACATGCTCAGTGTCCACTTGTTGATGTTGGGTACACAAGACACAGTGACACACAGGTGTAGCAATGGACCCAAGAGGCATCAGTCAGCGCAGCATGGAGCATATTCCCACAACACTCTCAACAAACTGCCTAGCCAATGCAGAAGCCATGTACATCCCAAACACGACAAGACCAAGATGCTGTTATTGTGGAGTTCAAACTGTACAATTCTGCAATTGGGAGCTGTGTGATGCATATGGATCAGCCAGCAATGGAGAGCTGTGCAATTGATCCGCTTGCAGCGCCCCTCTGAGAGTTGATAATTCCATCGTTGCTTGGATACGCCTCACAAACCCTGCAATAGGCGCATTGGTGAAAGCAGCCACACACCTTGCAGAGCTAACACACACACCCATCATCCCCAGTGGTGTTGATTCACCACAATCATACTCTGTGTTAGTGGCAAATATAGCCTCACTCGGTGAAAGGATCTGCTGGCAAAACGATGCCATATATGGTTGATGCTGGCTATCTGCTTGCAGCAATGGACGCCACACTGCTTGGCACCGTTTGGGCCTGTTGCTTGTTCGTAGCATCCACAAACAGTGGGCCCAGCCAAAACAATATGTTGCCAGCGGTCAAAGTTTTCTTGCCCCACATGTCAGTCTAATGAAAAAGAGTTTCCTCAGGTCAAGAAACTCCGGGGTCCTCAGGCTGCCCGGAAGCCAAGGAATCAATACATAGACAAAAATTACCTTCTGATTGACATGACCTGCATCATGGTTTCCACTGCTTGTGCTATCTGGTGCATCTGCTGCATGGCCTTGCTCTCACTCAGAGGCTCCCCAGACCTGCTGCGCTTGGTCTTGGCAAGCGCAAGGTATGTCCTGAAATCATCGTAATACTGTCTGAACAGCATCTCAGCCTTCTTGTCGAACTTAGCATTGAGAATTGCTTGGGACTCCCCCATCGCAGATTCCAACCCTGCAATACATGGCACAGTTTCCATTCCCAGTTAGCCTTCCATTCTCTTTCCTCACCACTGTTCCCTCGGTTTCAGATGGACATTCTGCCCGTCCCATTCACAGATTGAGACTAGCAACTGTTGACTTGAAAGTGCAAGATGCAGACATTAAGCTATCAATTGTTGTATTCCATACAATCTGACATACAACAACACATCACCCAGGTCACACAATGACAAGCCCAAACACGATGCTTGCTCGATATCGATCAGCAGGGTGTTTGAACCTGGTGTGTGTGTCTTCTTGCTAAGGCCACCAGATACTTTGATGCCAACCATGTCACACACAATGAGATGTGTCAAAGCCAAAAGTAAAATGAACACTGCAGCTAAAATCGGCACGAGGTAGTGCAAATCAATGCAGTGCACTTCCGTCTCCCATTGACCAGACTTCCAAGAACCTGCCCTAATGCATCATCTACAGGGGAATTCACAGCAACCATAGTGCATTCACTGCACTTCCCAGTCTCACTTTACAATCCCATGCAATGGTTGACTGTATTGACTGGGTGCTTAAACAGGACTAGCAAGGTCCCCAGTTGCACAAAAGGAAAATCCACACAATATGGGTACATGTGGAGAATATACCAGAATCAGCGGGGCACCATTGCACGGACACAGTTGCCATTCCAGGGTGGCGATATGATGTTCAACCACCATCATCAATGTTCAAAGACTCTGCAACAATGCTGCCTGTATAAGGCTGATAGCATGCACATGAGTTCTGCAAATCAGTGGTGTAAGATATACAATGAATTGATCCTGTGCCAAGTTCAGTGCATGTTCACGATGTCAACGCAGTGCTACTCGGAGACGGTTGCTATATTATTATTGCTGTATTGCTGCGATACATCTAAAATCTTGGGAGCCTGGAATTTGCTCGCCTTACATGGACAGTAGAGTTCACATCGTATACTTCCGCAAACAAGACTTCACAGCTCAAGGCCATTGATTACCTCCTGGAGCTTGCTTGGGCACCATAACAGGGGTGCCAGACACAGCACCATTCTGGGACACAGCATTGGTTGCTGTAGTGTACTGCATCGGCGAATAAGGCATGCCCATCTGATTTGCAGGCACATACTGTTGACCAGATGAGACCTGTGGCACGGCTGGACCATGGCCATTTGAATAGTTCGATGTTCCATGGGAATTCATCGGCGGACGGTGCAGTGCCATCTCCTGCTGGCCATTGTGCTGAGGACCACAACATGTCCACACATTTAAAACACAGCGGTGAAGCCCATCACAAGTCCAACTCCACAAGTTTGTGTGTCAAATACTTCTGGCATTGTCACTTGATGGGAGCGAAATATAATGACACTGCCTGACCACAAGGCACAGAGTCCAATTCAGCCAGTCCCCTAGCCAGCAGCCAGCACATAGTGCAGAGAAGCTGTGAGAGTTGTGCATGCACATCCTGAGAACAAACACGTTGGATATCCAGTGCAACTGTTGTCATCCCGTGGCTCCAACAGCAATGCTACATGCAGGGCACAAGTGTGTCACGAAAGCAACAATTCAACAATTGATGCCATGTTCACCGTATACTGCTGCCGCTGTTGTTGCTGCTGCTGAGGCTGCTGCTGCTGTGGTGGCGGCGGGTATGGCAGTTGTTGCTGCATCGGATGATGTTGGATTGGCTGCATGTGTGGCTGAGGGACTTGATTGTGATGGATTGAGTGTGGCGGATGCTTGTGGTGCTGCTGCTGCTGCATGGGCTGCTGCGTGTGCATTGCCTGTCCTTGGTAATACCCTCCCATGTAAGGGGTGCCAGTGGTGGAGCCAGGCGTGGGGCCGGCTGGAGGAATTGGCACGGGCCCAACTTGGCCTGAATGAATGCCAGCACCATGAGGGGGTTGGGGCCCGCCACCAGCATGGTAGCCACTGCCGCTGGACGATGCATTCCCTTGTTCAAGACCAGCAGACCCATATCAGCATGACATAGGTTCCCACACGGTCAAGTGGGGGGCCAGGCAATGGGCCAAAAATTAGTTACTTGGCACATGGTGTGGCCACATTTTTATCTGCACATACGTATGGAGACAAAGAGATATTCTTGGATGTGTACATGTCTCTCATCGCCTACATGGTGCCACGACACCATTTTGTCTTTCAAAGCCAATTTCAAGCAAAAGGATTCCAGCATGACCACACATGCGAGTTGCGGATCTGCTGTCCATAAGCAAGGTGCCCAAAGATGCACGAATCTGTTGGTTGCTCGATTGCACACTCACCCAACGTCCTCATTCTATTCTTCACATAGGTCAAATACTCTTGCTGCGCAACACATGCACAGTACACTTTCAGAAACGGGGCACCCGCAGCAACCTTGCAGAGGGCATTGCGCCTGGCAAATCCCGCCTCCAGGCATCCCTGCTGCGCGTCAAGCAAAGCAAGCCAGGGCAAAGGCCGCCCTGGGGACTCCTTTGTCAGGCGGCGGCAGCTTGCCCTGCAGTTTCCAGACAACACAGCATGGGGGTCGCCTCGTTCAGCAACAGGAGCCTCCATGGGGCCTGTGCTCCGTGCAAACCAGCAGAGGTCGCAGCCAGGGTTGAAGATGGGTGCCGGTGGACCTTCCCCAGTCATAAGTGTGAAAAATTTGACCCGTGTTGGGGAACTGACGGGCAGCACACCGGGCAGGAGCGCAATTCCCCGCAGGTTCCCAGCACCCAGTTGAGGTCACCTGGTTGGAGGTGTTCTTATACGCCTCCTCCTCGAGGTGCTGGGCCATGCTCTGCACATTCTGCACGTGGCCGTTCATGGGGCGACCCAGCCTGCCGAGCTCCGTGGCGCTGCAGACACCACAGACAGGGCATCAGGCCCGCGCCGCGACCGCAGAGGCGCTTCCCGCCTTGGGCCCCACCTGGCAACCCTTCCCTTCCGTGGACAAACCTACTGCGTGGCCCCAGGCGGGACGTCGGCCAACTTCCTTCTCCCTCCCCAACCCCCCACCCCTTTGACAGTCCATCCACGCCACCCCACCCTCATTCCTGCCAGGGGCATTGGGAGGATTTCATGGCTCCCGGCCCCTGCGGGAAGGCGCCGGCCGGCGGTTCCGTCCCCGGACCGCATCGCCAACTCACAAGTAGTTCCGAATCTGGTGCCGCGCGTGCTCATTCACCAAAGTCTTCATCCCGCCCCGCGCGCGCCGGCCACCGCGAGCCGTCGAGGTCAGGCGTCCGCCATGGGGGGCGGGCTGGCGCGGCGCTGGCGCCGCGGTGGAGTGGTGTGGGGGCAAGAAAGAGCGACCGGCTAAAGGGGGTGGCAATCACAAATGCGACCCTGGGCGCGCAATGTGAGGACCCCCATCTTTTCTCGCATTGACACATTGCCCTCCAGCCTCTGCGCCTGACAGACAGGCGCGCCCGAAGGGGCTGGGAGGGCGCAACCAGCGCCCTGGAGTGGCCCGTGGCGCCTCGGGGCCGCCAGGCGATGTCCGAGGCGGTGGGGGTGGCGGGGGAGGGGGGAGGGGGTCTGGAGCCTGCGCTCGAGCACCAGATCGCGGAGCAGCGGGCGTCCCTGGAGGAGATCGAGGAGGCCCTGCGGCGGGGGCACGACGAGGACCTGGCCCAGGTGGGACCCCCGGGGGGTGGGGGTGGGGTGGGGTGGGGGGGTGGATAGGGCAGGGCTGTGAGATGCCGAGGCGGTGATCCGTTGGCACTGGGGGGCGGATGCGTGGGAGTTCGTTTTGGACTGCGCACTCCTCCTTAGGGGCAAGGGCACCCCGGCTGGCAGATGGTGATGACGGGCAACGGGCTTGTTGGGGTGGGGATGGGGGTGAGAAGGGTGTTGGGGGGGATGATTTTGTGCAAGCGATCGCTGTCACTTGACGAGAATCATTGCTCTTCTGGATGATTTTCTTCACGCTTTGGGACTTCTAGTGCGGACGGAAGGTGTCAAACACTTGTCTGGCACAGACGACAACCGGCTTATTCTGTTCACCCTAAGCTTTGGTGGCTCAGAGTGCGTATTGGCAGAAAGTGGACTTGTGACACAACAGAAAAACCTGTTCACTACAACAAATGATTGTATCCCCACAGGAAACGAGAAAACGGCACATTGGTAAGGGCATGTGCCTCTACTGAAGTCGAATGGCCAGGCATCGTCCATATGCTGACGGGTTGCAAGGATCTCAACACGCTTTCAGAAGAGCGTACTAGACCCCACGTTGGCAGCCCCTACTGGAAAGTCCCAAGCTGCCTGCCTTTTCTTGCCACGAAATCTTATTCAGAAGAGTCCAGAGTGCGGCAGGAATAGCGCTCGATGAACAGCATAACAAGTAGGAAAAGAAATAAGGATCACCACTTAATATCATGGCACCTGGCATCGCTGCTGTGCATTGTCATAGCAGAATGGGCACATGTCAAACAGTGGGCATCCCCTTCTTCATGAATTGCTTGGGCCTGCATGCCACTGGACTGGGACAATAAAGAAATTTATAACGACCGCTGATTGTTGCATGGTGTTCAGACATGCTTGCTGAAGATCGCTTGTGGGATGCCCAGCTTCAGGCACAGTTGCGACAGTGCATCAAAGACTCTGAAGCAGCCCTGCTGGAGCTGAAGCGTGGTAGGCTATTGGCAGATGTGAAGAAGCTGGAGGTGAGGAGGAAAGGAAAGGAAAGAAAAGGGAGGGGGCCTCGGCTCAGACCACCATTGGCCAAGATTCATTGCTGGTTATATGTATCGCTTTTTGAGCAGACATGGTTGTAAGGCAGTGTCAGTGTTGATGTCCATGTTTTGCAAAAGTCATTGTTTTTATTGTGGTGTTGTTCCATGCGATAAAGAAATGCTCAGCGATTTGCATTGGTCAAAGCATGACCTGTTCCTACCTTTCTATACGTACTGGACGATGTGTGGACTTGCATGGTGACTTCAAAGTCTCAAGTATACGTTGGCAAAGTTTTTTATAGCAAGAAAGAGAAAATACCACACAATCGGCAGCAACGTCCTGAGCAGAAAGATGCATGTGCTCTGTTTGATGCTGTGGGCGATGATTTGGTGCGGACGGAGAAGCTATTTCTTCCCCCCTGAAATTTTACGAAGCAGCAGCATATGTGTGTGAGCAGGGAATTGCCTTGAAACGTCATTGTTGCCTGAAGATTCTAGTTGACTTGTGGCCAGGGCAGCACACACACAGCACAAAGCAGCCAGGGGGATGGGGATGAAGATGATGACCAGTGCAGCACATCGGCTGGGGGGTCCTCAGAAGATTGTGATAGCGATCAAGAAATGTAAGGCAAGTGCTCATCAGGCACTCATGTATGCCTGCTTGCAGCACGGGCTGAACCATGATGGTGAAAATGTGCCGTTGCCCAAAATCATCAAAGAATACAAGTGCTCTTTGTGTTTCCATGCTGCAACTGTTGCTGGATTAGGAATGAGTCCATGTTCCATATTGCCAAAGCGGAGGGGTTGTCTGTGACTTGCCGATGGGTCGTATTGTACCTCTGAACCTTACGAGCTAGAGGACTATTATCTAGCATGTTGCCTGATTGTATTGAACTGGGGATCTGATATTCATCTGTGGTTTCCTTGGTACCTAAAGCCCATTGTATGCTGCTGGAAGCCCCAAGCCAAACTGCCTTTGGTAATTATTTCCATCGTCCTTAGGTTGTTGTTTTCCTCTTGAAAATCAAGAATTGGATGTTCCTGCTGACAAGCAGCAGTGCTGAACTCCTCATGATCCCTTTACAGCAACTCCCTGCAAGATGCCTTCATTTGTTTGGTGTCTGTGGTTTATCCCTGAACCTTCACCTCAGCTGTGCTGGCTCTGTCCAGCCCAGCCTTTGTTGGTTTGCCAACATCTTGATATGAGGAAGCAGCAAGGCAAGCAAGTCGACATTTGGCGTATGGCACTGGCACTGGCCCTTGTTGCTTGCATTCCAGCTTTCCTGGGATTCGGCTTCCTTTTCTGGCTGCACAAATCGCAAATGATGACTTGGGTATGTGCTGCTTGGAGCTGGAGCTTGTTTTGGCGCTTCACTACAACATGTCAATGACTAGGGGAAAGTACAAGCAAAAGAAGAAAATAGGAGTGGATTATAAGTGTTTCGTTGTGAAAAGTGCATCATGTGGGACTTTTATCGGCGGCATGGTGTTCATTTGTTGTCGTGCCTCCTGGCAGAGAGCTGGATCCATTCTATGTCGAAGAGGCCATGAGCATGGATCGCAAGGCAGTGCTGCGGGCGGCAGATGAAGGGGCGCAGACTGACACTCTGCATTTTGCAGCTTGGGAATCCCATAGCAGAGGGGTAGCCTCGAAGCTAATGGCTAAGATGGGGTAGGTGGGGTAGCAGCACCCACTTTCGCAGCTTTCATGAACCCCCCTGTCTGCCGCTGCTCAGCGCATGAAAGTCCTTACCTTTCTATGCAACTGTGGTTAAGGTTCTCTGCCATGCTGCAAATTGTAACTGTAAGCCACGGACAGAACAACTGCAGCATGCAATTTTGCAGCTGGCTTGAAGGCAAACAAGTTCAAAGACAAGTGCTGGCAATGCGCATGGCCAATTTTCAATGCCGTTCAGGACTGTCTTGCAACAGTGTTTCAAGTGATATGGCCTATTTGGTTTTGTTGTGAGCATGGATTTGATGTGGAGCTGCAGGTCACCTTAGCCGGTAATCGGCCGATCGCTCACAATCATATGCAAATATGAAGCAGATACACAACTGTTTGGTCACTGTGCTCTGCCATGGGATAAGGTGACTGATATGGGCAGAGACTCATTAATCTCTTATTCAAGCACAAGTGGGTTTGCCAACAGGTATGTGCAAGGCGAAGGTTTGGGCCGGGAGAGGCAGGGCGCAGTAGCAGCACCGATTTCTGGCAGGAAAATCTGCAAGAAGGGCCTTGGGGCTGACCATGCAGATGGAAAAGGTGAATCACCTGTATATTTTGTGCCCCGGGCTCTCTGTGCCTGCACAAGGTTTAAACTGAAGAAATTATGCTGCTTCTGCTGTTAACAGAACATCAAGAGCAGCGGCATTCTGTACACTTAAAGCGGTAGTGTTCTCTTTTGGCCTGCTATCTGTCCAGTGGCAGCAAAAGGCCACCGACAACAATATAGCACCGGCGTCTGCTGCTCATGGACACTGCTAAAGCCAACGGGCACCTCAGCCATGCTGTTTATGTTTTGGGATTCATCGTTGCGCTGGTGCCAGGATAGCAGCTGGAGCATCTGCCCTGCACAGTTTGCCCTGGGAGTTGTGGTTGTTTAAGATGGATGGACACAATCGAACGTTGTGGGTTCGAGGCGATGATGTTGTTGAGTGTCTCCTCAAACTTGACGTATAAATTGTCAGACTGGGGGTTGACTTCATGTGTAGGTCTATGTATGTGCCTGTCCAATTGCACATGTGCTGGCCCATGGTTTGCATTAAGGAAAGGAACCAGTCCATAGCATTGCCATGTGCTACAACTATCAGATTCACCATTGATCAAGGAGATCCATTGGATCACTTAATACTGTGGCACAATAATAATCTTCCTGACACGTCAATGGTGAGTGACAACTGATGTGGTTGTTATTTGGGGGTCGCCACATTGCACTCTTGTCTCAAGGGGTGAATGAGGTCACACTCAAACCTGTGGCTCTAGACATGATGATCGCAGTAGCATCGGGTTGTGGCCAAGAAGTTCATGAAAATCTTGCTGCGAAATCAGCTTGTGTGCAATGTGCCATCAACGAACCATGCTGCTCAAGCGAGATCGATGAAATTGACAATATTGACATCACAATAAATGTATCATTCTCTGGCGTGTTGCGTATGCCTTCCTTTTCACTTGTTGGGTGTTGCCACTGTATTGCCAAGACTTGACATCGAAGACAAGGCGATATTACCATACCTGCAATGGTCTCAGTTTGAATATGAAAGACATGCTTAAATGGGTGACTGCAGCCCACTTTTTTCAGTTTCATTAGCTTGCTAGCTCTCTACCACCCATGAGACTAACTGCCTCCCACGATTGTGTGTAATTCCTGCAAACGCAGCTGTTGAAAAAGACAAAACAAAAGGGACCTGGAAATGGATGTGGGCACTTTTGGGATACTTGAAGCTGCGTCCATGGCCAGCACTGAGGTAGAAAGCCACGAATGTCATGCTGTGTTCCAGGCCCAGGCCGCAAGAAAGCTCGTGGTGGCAAGAGAGAACGTTTGAAAAAGAAGCATCAGAAATACAAGGATGGTGTTGAGCAGCGAAGGGATGAGGCAAACCAAGATGAGCTTGCTGGCACACCAGGACTGTTTTCAGTCATCAGCAAAGCCACTGGTGAGAATTGTTGCGTTATTCACCCAGGCCCTGTTCAGTTGGGATGTGTGCATGTATGGCCTGATTGTCCCCGCGATGCACCTGAGTTCCAGCACTGTGGCCCAATTCCATTGATTATGCATTTATCAGAACATGACAAGACCTTTCACCAAGCTGGCGATTTTGGGCAATGAACATTGGAAGGTCGTGATCTCCCCAAAGCATTCTGTCCGCCAAAGCACAGGGTATGCTGGACGCCTGCTGCGATTCTGGGCATTTGTAACTCTTTGCTGTTGTTGCTAATGACAATCCATGGAGGCTTAACACTACATTGTGGTAGATCGCCGATTTGTTTGCAGCCACGGGTATGCCTGCCAGGCACCTGGCAGCCACCCTCAGGGATGAAAGTGCTGTTGTGCCCCTGGCTGCAAGACAGCTTCTTCACAGCAATTATTATGCAGTTGCATATGTATTTCATGTGGCAGTTTAGTGTGGCTGGAGGTTTGCGCTGTGCGCTTGCTGGACATGTGGGTTGGGGTTCACAGGGCTCAGAGAGTAATTCAGAGCTTGGGGTGAAGGCAGCTCAAATATCCAGGGCTGAGGCATCACATCGCATCACATCTCGTTTGTTGCGCAACACTGCTGGTTGCTGAATTTGTGTCAACGTTCTGTTTCCTGATATTGTCTGCTTGCAAAGAAGTGCACTGGGCACCACAGTGAGAGCGACAGGGGTAGGGGTAAGAAAAGGATGGTGGACAACTTTTTGGACAGGCCCTGTACTTGCAAGCACTTAAACTGAAATTTAGCCGTTGTCTTGGCTGGGGCCCAACAGAAAAGAATGCCATCTGCCTCTGTTTAACCTCAGATGTCTGTGATACCCTCACAAGTTGTGACACTGATGGAGATGGACAAAGTACGAATTCGTTCGCCGAAGATTGATCAGCACTTGTTGATGGCGATTTTCGGCTTAACAACTGCAGTCGCTGCATGGCGTTCAGGCGACAAGTCGGAAGCAGCGTCTGTCGTAAAGAAGGCAGCAACTTCCAGCAGCGTGCTGGGCGAGCCAGTGGTGACTCAGAACAGCAGCGCAATAGGTGGCGACAGGAAGTCCCTTGTGGGCCATCAAGATCACGTGGCATCCTGCAGGAAGAAAGTGAGCGGGCTCATGCGGGCTGTTGAGCGGAACGGGAGTGCCAAGGTGGGCAATTCTGCCTCGACTTGCTTTGACAAAGCATTGAATTGCACCTGTGTTTCCGAGGCGATGGTATCGGAACAAGTTGCGGTGTGGAACTTTGGCCCCTGGACTACATCACGACTAAGGAAAGATACTATTTTGAATTTGGCATATGCTCAGCGTCAAATTGACGTTAAGGGGGGGAGGGGTCCAGCCAGTGACGCTAAGAGATTATGTTATTGCACTAAAATCAAAATAAGGTGGGAAGATGCATAAAAAAAGACCACTGATCATTGGCAGATAGCTCAGGACTTGTTGCAAACCCCCCCTGGAAATTCTCCATCTACGAAGAAGTCCCTGGAATGGATCAATTTTTAGGCTTTGGGGCTGCTCCCATCGCCTATTATGGCTTTTGGCATTGCATTTTTCAAATCACTGCAATCGCCACAATTTCGGCCATTTTTCCCTTAAAAAGATTCCGAAGTTGCATGCCATTTTTGTTTAATGTTGCTGAGTCATCCTGGAATCGAAATAAGGATTGACGCTAAGGAGGGGGGAGGGGGGCAAGATTTGTTTCGAAAAACAAGATAGAAACAAGATAGATCATCCCTCCTAAGCAAGTGTGCGGGACTCTTTTCCATACTGTGAAAAGATGATATGGAGTCACCACAACACATGAGTTGCACAGAGAGCAAGAAAACACGCACTCGGAGGCCCCATCAAAAACCTCAACCTTAGGGGGAGGGAACCCACAATGATGGACACCCACAATGCCAAGCCCGCCCATGCCGCTCATGCCACGCACAGTGCCGCTCGCCACATGCCAATGCCGGGCCAAAACCCGCAGTACCAAAATGACACACCCCAAACGCCCACCCGCTGCCACCGATCCGCCACATCAAAAGTCGTTGTCCAGCCATCGCCGCAGACCGCCATAGCCAACCCACCATGGTGATCCGAATGGGTGCTTCTCTTTGATGCACTTCTCTCTGGGCATTTTCTTCAAGTCTTTGGCATCTTTATTTGGACATGTGTGGCAATGCCGTGCTGCCTTGCATTCTGCAAACTTGTGTTGTTGCATCTGGTCTCTCTGGGACCTGACAATGATGCTGTGGTGGAAGGCGCAGCAGGGCAGAGCAAGTTGGTAGTCGTTTGCACCCATGTGTCACACGATGTGTCGGTGCAAAACAGGTCCTGAAGCGCGCAGCAGAATCGCAACTTGCCACTGCCGTCAAGCAACTGCGGGAGGCGGAGGGTCGGGAGGCGAAATTGGCAGCTGACATAAAGAAGAAGGAGGACTTCAATAGATGGGTTCGGTTTTGACGAACTGCGCACCTTTGTCATTGTATAGTTGGATAAAATTAGCGCAGCATTGGGGATGAATTTTGGAAATGTTCAGGGATTGCGTTGTATCACCCTGGCGTCAAGGTGATCCAAGTGATCGCTGCGTGTTCGTTCTTGGGTGAATGTTCAGTACTGATGAGCTCTCGGTGACTAAATTAGTCATCATACGATCAGGAGCACGTCGGATCACGTTCAGACAGCCTTCAACTGCTTTGTAATTGACAAAAGTTTCATGGTATGCGAGCACCAACCTCCAGCCCAGCCACACACTATCCTGTTTCTACTTCGAAGCACATAAACCTGCATTTTGCTGCTGTACTTGGCTGCCAATTACAGCATTGTCTTTTTCACCTGGTGCACTCAGATTATACCAACTGCCATCAGCGCAACTGCGCAGCTCCAATTTTTTGCCCTCGTGCAAGATCAATAATGTCCAAAGTTGAATCACTTTTCTATCAGCGCGTCAGGAAACAAACCCACAGGCATCACCACCAATCCCTCAAAAAAAAAATGGTCTCTCAAAACAACGCCCCACCGGCCCCTGCCCTACCCATCCCTCACCACCCCAAGTCCCCTTCTGTCATTCTTGTATAGAACCGATCTATCGAACCTTGTGCACCCACCGCACAGAGATGCCTTAGAGGCATTCCTCATTCAGGTCCTTGTCACATTTGAGCATCCAGTTGTTCTGAAGGTACTCAGAGGGTCGTTGAGTACCATGCCAGGCTCAGCAGGACCATGGCAGAGGCTGCCCAGACGTATTTGTTGGACACTTGTATTGGTGGCTTGTAGTTCTCCCAGAACTTCTCCTCGAACGATTGCTTGTATTTTCGCCTCTTCACAGGTCCAGCCGACGCGCTTGCAGAGTACCTGGCACGGCCACTGACAGAGAGCAAACAGTCGCATCAAACGTTCAACTCCAACGGGCTTTTCTGAGAACATCAGCGCAGAATCGAACACACAGAAGAATGGCCGGAATTGCGTCCTCATCGCGTCGAAGGTGCTTCTCCTATATCGATAAATGTCATTGAATGGATAGAATCGTTCCCAGTGGCACTGTCCTCCAACTCTGCCGTGAAACTCCATGGAAGGCATGACAACAAACAGCACATGCACCTTCGAGACAGGCGCAGAGATATCCAACCCTTGTTTGTCCAGTGTCACACGATCGTGCTTCCGCACTCCAACCCACAGCACTGCCGTGTGCAGAGGCTTGAACACACTCCCTGGCAGCCAGGACATCTACTGGCAAAATGGTTTCGATGTCAAGTACAGTTTTTAGCAAAAGGGAATGCCCGCATGTCACCAACGGGCATCCAGCATCGGTTGTTGCATGCAAAGGCGCTGCTTTCTCACATTCTCAGTAAATGCAATCAATATGGGATTCTGAGTTAGGGTTCTGCATATTCCTGCAAGCATTGCAGCACATGAGTCCTGAAAACGCTGCAAGCACTGTTCTGCAGTGGAATACTAATGTGGTGGCAGCAACAGGAAACCAACATGTGAGCGAACTTCCACTATGTTGTTGGCACACGTGCAGTCAGTCCTGGTGTGGTCTCGTGTTCGCTCCCCCTGACACGACAAACTTCGCAATCAACTGTCCACAATGTGTCGCCGACAGCCTATGCATGGAACTTACGTTGCCCTCTCCAAGTTGGAGAGCACCGGGATTTTGACCTTTTCCTCGCTGCTGATCTTCAGCTTCGGTGCCTCCATGATGAACAGGAGGCTCGTGGCCTGCTTCCGAACAGACTTGCAGTCGTGGTTTTCTTTCAGGTCCTTGTACAGCTCCAGGCACATGTCCTCTTTACCTAGTGCCTGCCAAAAGGCATTGCATTAGACGGACTGCGAGGTGAATCATCAGGGATGACAGCATGTGCAGCCGGCAGCCTGCGGATCTGAAGGTTGCAGGAAAGAGCACAAGGCAGTGCACACAATGGGTACCCAGTCCGGCGCAGCATTTACGAGACTTTTGATCTTTCCATGGTGTTTAACAGACAGTGACTTCTTCAACAGCTGAGATTTCAGAGCAGAGAACTCGCACAGCAGAAAGTCGTATCTGCAAATGCCAGTGCACTTGTGTGCTTGATGCTGAAGGGGCCGAGCTCTTCACATCAAGAAAGCTAGGTTGCCTGCCTTTATTAACGTCGTTCACACTGTGAACTCGCTATGGCAGCAGTGGTGGTGGAAGGAAAGTGGAATTTCGCTGTTCCGTTCTGTGAAAGGCTCAGAAAGGGCTCTGAAGCCAGCCGCACTCTGGCTATCAACACAACCCGGTGCCAGCAATTGTTCCTTTTCTATTGTCCAGTGGTGTCCATTCCCTATCATGATCATCCAAAAGAGTACAAAGAGAGGCTTAAAGTGCGCATGAGCAAGCAAATGCAGTTGTGCAGAGCATTCAACCATTCTGTGCAGGAGTGCTGTGTGGGGCTCCAGATGAGCAACTGTGTTCTAGTTGCCAAAGTGCCAACATGCATTCAGCATAGCAAGTGAGGAGGATAATGAGGCACAGTGAAGAAAACGGGACACTGGTCACACTTGTCTGTTGAAACTCAGACGGTCAGATTGTCCCAGTTTGCTAGCGGCGTATGCCGACCATGCAATTCTTGTCCATACAATTGTGGTTGGTGTGACAATCTGTCAGCATGAAACCACAGTTGCCTTGAAGATGCAAGGGCAGCATCTTGTGGCGTGGTGGTGAATGGTATCTGAACAAACTCACGAAATCCCAATTCAGAAAGAGAAGCAAATGTGGCGAATCCACCTTGATGCCTCACCTGGTATGCAAGGGCCAGCCACAGCTGTGCCTCCCCACCAGTCAATGTGTTGGCTCCCACCTTAGCCACTGCATTCTGAAACAGCTTGCTGGCGGCATCATACTGGCCTCGTGAATAGGCAAGCTTGCCAAGCTCAAATGTCCTGTTTTCTTTGCGCTGCTTCTGTCTCAGCTCCCCCACTCTCTGACCACGACCACAGGAAGGTGAAATTGGACAAACGCTCTTAAGCAAATAGCATAATGGAACTATGCCCAACATCGCCATCAAGGTGCAAGCGTTAAGCTCTTTTGTATTCTGATAAATGTGCGCAAGTGACCTCCACCTCCACCAGAGCCTTTCCTATCCGGCGAACAGCAATCGCACCTTGCCATGCAGGCAAATGACAGGTGGGCACTGCTCTGCTGAAGGAAATTGCAGCTGGGCACCCCTCTGCTGGAGAGCAGCATAAGGGCAGCATTTTTCCACAAATTTTGTTGCAGGAGCAGTTGGTGTTGTTGCAATGCTCATGTGCGACAGGTGACAACCTGTTGTTCAGCAGATGATGCATATGTTGACTCCAATTAACATAGAGCTTCGGGAGTGATCCTTGTCTTGACAGAACACTGACTGCAATGATTCTGTTTCTATGGATAACAGGAAAGAACTCAACAGCACAAAACCTCTGGCATATTGGGCACTGACTTTGCCCAAGCGCAACAACTGTGAATTTTAATCAGTGGATGTACAGTTTCATCAGCACATAAACTGCAAAAGTCCCCAGAAATTACAGTTTCTTCTTTTGAGTGTGTGCGCATGGGTTGTTCAGCAATCTGCCTGACATTAGGCCAGTGCCTCAGAGCCCACCCAAATTGCCCGCTGTCACTGGTGGCATCCTGAAACCAACCTCTAAAAGTTTCATCTTTATCTTGTTTCTGTAGCCCTCTTGTGCCTGTGACAAGTTTAGCTTGCCAAGTTGTGCATCCAGGACCTCATCAGGACTCATGCCAGCATCCAGACCTGCCAGTAAATCCCTAGATTGTGAGTGGGTGCTTGTGGTTTGTGCTGCTGCACATGTGGCCTGTTGGCATAATTCAAGAACAAATGCAGGGGTTCTGATTGGGTTGAATGGGTGATTTTAGCATCGGTGTGTATCCATGAATTGCCCATAACGACCCCAAATCCAGAAAACTGCAATTTCATTCAGTTGATTTCACAACTGGATAGAAAGCTATGACACCAGGTCGGTGTGGTGTTCAAATGCAGATTGAACACAGCACTGATGGTCGTCAGACTGGAGTTTTCCACACCGATGTTCGTCCTCAAAACGGACCAAATCGAGGAGCGAAGCAGCTCTGTGGATTCGTTGTGGCCAAAATTTTTGTCAATTGAGCATAGTTTGCCAGTTGTCCACGACGCCGGGGAGAAAATTCGCCTAAATCCGGGAATGGAACGCCGCCAATATCACTTGGCAGTCGATCATTCGTGCAAGGCTACCCAGCTGCCCAGATCAAAGAGATCGACGCCATCAAATCAACTCCAATCCCTGCGCGCCGAGACCCATTCCAGCTTTGGTGTTCACCCCCTCGCCATCAGCAAGAGCTCACCTCTGGCGAAATCTGCGGCGACTTTGTCCAGCAGATCAGATTCAGACTCCCCCGCAGCGCCAGCGCGAGGCCGTCGGCAGTGCCTTGCGCGCCGCGACGCCTTTGCCTCCCGCAGTCGCAGGCACGGGATGCCAATTGGTGGCGGGGGTCGCAGATGGGCGCCCATGGGCCCTACGGCCGCCATGCCGGCGGACGGGTCCCCAGTCCGCGATGCGGTGAGAGTGGCCCAGAGTTGTGCGAGGGAGGGGAGCAGCCTAAGAGCCTCTGGAGGGGGCTCCTGTCCGCTCTTCGCCACCGAACGAGCGTGGCGCAGATGCGACGGAGACAACTGGATCCAACTGTACCAGAAACTGAAGGCATTGCGCGTTTTCTGCATCCACACAAGGCGTTTTAAAAAACTGCTCATCTGGTAAAATTGTTGGGGAAAGTCGGGGGAAATGTTGGTGCCCGGGGCCTGCGGGTCCAACTTGGGGTCCAGCTGGTTGGGGCCAAAAGGCCCGGCGGTGTGCACACGCCCAATAACGGGGTGGGAGCCTATCCTGTGTTGCACGGAGCCCTTCAGGGCTCCAGGGTTTAGAGTCTCCAGCCTCTAGGGTTTGTGGGTCGAACACCGTAGGGCCAAGGCACGATCAGCCCGACCAGGCTCACTGCGTGCGTTGATCGAGGGTGTGCTCGGGGCGAGGAGAACATGGGTCCCTGGAGGCGCCTCCCCACATACTTCCCGAATATCAGTCTCCACATGCTGCCGCTCATGGAGCAAGAGCTGGAGGCGGTGAAGAAGACGGGCTGGCTGAGGAAGGTCGCGTTCAGAACGACACCCAACGTTAGCAAGGTAAGGACAGGCACCGCCGTTAAGGTTGGCAAGGCACTGGTGGATGATGGCCTTGTGAACCCGCCAACCCCAAGGCGTAGTTTCTGTATGGTCCGGGCGCAATTTTTCTCCTCTGGTCTTGTGTCCAGTTTGTGCCGCTGTTCATGAACTGGAGTCCCATCTGAGCAAGTGCGTTGTTCTATCTTACTACCACTTGGGCATGGCAAGACGTAATCACGCACCCCAAGAGTCAGGGCAGTCTGAAATTCACCTCCTGCAGTACCTCGCAGCATTATCTTCAGTATACGGATGGGGAATGGTGCCCACCATTGTTCGTAATGGTGACTGTATCTATATGGCGAGCTGAGTTCGGTTCCACACAGCCCAATGTTGTTCAATGGCGGCGTTGTGCGGCCAAGCGTCCTTACATCCTTCCAAGGTAGTTGCTTGTGGGGGCTGGGGTGCCAAGTAGCCTCCAGATGCAGCAATGGCACAACATCTCATGCAGCAGCCAGGGTGCTTGGGTACCAGGGTGTAGGTGGGCGGAAAATAACGAACGTTACTTTGCTGGTTTTAGTTAGTTCACATCAGTGCATTGAGGCCCTTTCGGCCAACTGGGTTACTTTGGGCAGTGTGGTGACATCTCAGATGCCAGAACATTATTCATCTGCACAACCGATGAAGAGAATTCCATTGAAATGGAAGGCGAAAATATTCTTCTGAAGCTGACGAAGGGTGCCCAACGATTGCCAAAGTGTAATGGTAATTAACTGAATAGTTGATGCTTGACGTTTTCAACTGCAGCTGGAGATCAAGGCGTTCTTGGAGAGAGTGTATGGTATGAGTGTGGAGAAAGTCAACACGCTGAACTATGAGGGCAAGAAAAAGAGAAGGAAATATGGTATGGTCCAGAGACCTGACTGGAAGAAAGCTTACGTATACTTTAAGCCGCAAGTTGGTGACAGTGTGGAGGACAATGAATCCAGATGACAAACGGGGATGACAAACCTGTGAGAGTGCCTGCACCGCTTAGGAATTCCGAGAAATTCAGACACTTGTTATGCTTTGAATTGCCCTTCTCCTGAGCACCAATTTCTAGAATGGTGGAGCGGAGATCTTGTGGAAAAGGTCGGTAGCCAGCCGAGGCTATCTGGGGATGGCTATGCCTTGTCTGGAGGCTTCTATATTGACTGCTGCCCAAAAGGCCCACTTGTACAATGCATATGTGCCTTGGCAAGCCATGTCTGGATGACCACAACAGCAGGCCACTGTTCATGATTAAAATTTTGCTTGGTCTGCAGCGCCAAACCTGGTAAACCAGATACCTCAGCAATTCAAGCAGCAGGCTGCTGTTGGTTGAGACATGTGTCTAAGGCCAGTGAAGGATCTAATGCACGCTTCATGATGACTTGGTAGTGGAATTGCCCTTCATTTACTTGACCGTCTTTCCTTAGTTGCAGGTGCAAAAAGCACAGATACAGCGTGCCCAACATTGGGTGTTGAGATGAATGGCCACTGACTGTGTTTCTGGCATGCTGCAATACTGGACGGTCTCGCCCAAAGTATGTTCCAGGATTGGGCTGTCCGACTCAACCTGCATCCGATTCCGAAAGTTGAGCACGCGATAAATACTTTGTGCTTCGAAGTGCAGTTCGGAGTCTTGGGGCCACCCAGCAACTTGCCGTAGGTGCCAGATTCCACAAGGGCTTGCCTGTGGACACCAGCATGTAGTGGCCGATCATGCCACATGAGGGCTTGTGCACAACAAACTGTGTGGATGAGACCCAAGCACAAACACGTGGTGCTAACGGGCTCGCTCATCAAAACCAGAAGCCCAGCGAGTATGTGTTGAGAATACGCTTATGAGCCACATGCCCAGACAGGGATCCGGGACATTTTGCACGATGAGCCGACCATCTCCCAAATGCCCCAAGCATCAAACTCAAATTTGCCCTTCGGCGTGGATGACCATGTGCATTCGGCCAATGACTTGGTGCAAAGCTTCCAAGTGCATCGTCATCAAGAATTCTTGAATACAAGTTTTCCACCTGCACACCGCGCCCGCTCCTGTTTCTTGTCGAAAAGCACCACCGATACGATGCAAGATGCATGGTACGCGTTTCCAGCGGGGGGAGCACCACTGATACTGACGAAGGCAGGCAGGGTCGAGGGGTGGCGATCCCTGAATGGGAATTGTACACTCGAGTCCACGGCAACGGTTTACAGCCGAGGCAAAAGGACAACAGACGTTCTGTCCATTATACTCAGTCCGTTCATCAACATCCGTAATGCATTCCTAGTGCTTCGTCATCTTTTTATGCATTCAGCTATTAATAACACTCAATCAGTTCTAGCCGTAACAATACGATGCAAGATGCATCGTCAGCATACGGGCGACCACCCACCTCCGCGGCATATAATTAGTCCCTCTGTCTTTTCCGTGAGGATGCCTTCCTGTTTCGAACACCCCAGACCCACTGATCCGCGTTGGCCTTGTCGGCGGAAGAAGAAGGGATCCTCACAACAGACAGAGGGACCACTGTACTGTAATGCATTCTCCATCATCGCGGACTGCATCTGGTTGCGCCCTACCTAGACGGGGCATAAAATTACTCCCTGCATCAAATCGGTGACTGCTTGCACGAAAACGGTGACTGCTTGCACCAAGTCACGTGCACATCATGTCCAACTCCGTCAAAACTAACCTAACCTAAACCCTAAGCCCTAAAACCTAAACCTAAACCTGTCCTAACCCTAACCCTAACCCTAAAACTCACCCTGAACTAAACCTAACCCTGAAACTGAGGTTAGGACAAAGTGTGCACGTGACCTGGTGCAAGCAGTCGCCGATTTGGTGCAGGCAGTAATATTATTTCCCTAGACGGCATCGATTTGACAGTGGCAGGCCAAATTGCCAGCCTGGCCGTCAGGCCCCCCCGCACAGCCCCAGCCCACCCTCCCCCCGCTCGTGGAACTGCTGAACTCCGCGCCCACCGCACAGGACCGGGTGCCTGGAGCCCGGGGGGACCCCGTGCAGGCGCCGGGTCATTGTGGCCATGGCGGATACAAAGCATGCGCCGGCGGATCGCCCGCCGGCGGTGGCGCCGGGCGGGTCCCGGGCGGAGGGGGCGAACGGCGACGCGGGCGCCGCGGCCGAGACGGGGCCCGCGGGCTTCTGGGAATCGCTGCTGAGCTTCAGAGACTTCAAGAACAGCCTGAAGCTGCGCAAGGTGCGTGGCGAGTAGCGGCAAGGGGCGCCACATAGGTGGTTTTTTTCTGTTGTGAGCGTGAGGCCTGAACGTGATGAATGTGACGTCTGTGCTGCACCGCGCCTGTTGGCTGGGATGGCGTCGAGGGCGGGATTCGTCGGGTTTTGTGAACGGGTTTGTCGGCGGCGCCGTATTGATTGCCGGGTTTTGTGGCTTGAACTTCGGACGGAGGTGGCGAGGGGACTCGAGAGGGGCTGGTCGCCATGCCTTGGCTGCAGGATGGTGCCAGGACGGGCCATCGTCGCTGGAAATTTGGGTTGGGTTCGCTGCATGACATTGGGGGCGCCCGTCGGTGTCGGTAAACTGCCGTCCGCGGTCCGGCTGGCGGGGGTTTTGCTCGCCCAGTCTGTTTCCTATCTCTTGGTTTTGTCTGAGCATGTGGAGAGCAACTGGGTACCTTGGTGTGCGTGTGCTTGTTGCATTGGCAGTGTAGCGAATGGCGTTACCTTGAGCGATGAAACACCTTGGAAAGGAACTTAGGAGCGTTGATGATCATCGATTTTAGGATATTTGCACTGTCCTTTGTACCTCGCATTATTTTGTTGTGAGGACATGGGCGCGTGTGCCCTCACACTCCTTGGAATCCGCTGATTTGTGGATATGTTTCTGCTGTACGCAGGATTATAAGCTCAAGGAAAAGCTCTATGTGAGTATTTTGTCCCCAGTATCTCGACATTCACAACAGCAACACAAACACTGCTAGCCCATGATGCTTACTCTGGGATCTGATATCAGTAGGAGTGCCTTGTGGTATCTGAAAGTGGATCAGCTCCTGTTTTCAAGGCCACAGCTTTTGCCTATGCCCCTTATCACGTGGATGCTTGTGACGAGTTTGCTGAATGTAGTCAAGCAACATTGATGCTGATAGGTGCATCAATGTTTGCTCCCTTCCAGCTTTTTGTTCCACATTGCCAACATCCACACGGGCTCACTGTGCTACAATCAGCACAGTGTTTCTGAAGTGATGCCGACCATGTTGCTCAAAGGACTTTTGGGTGCCTGTGATAAGAGGTTGACTGCAGTGTGGCTCTTGGAAATCGGAGTTGTAAGCGCCTATCTGGGCACCACAGCCTTGTTGCGCTGCACTCACCAGCTATGATGAGAGGGATACATTTGTTGCCATGATATGACATGAGGTGGCCTTGTTGATTGCGGGGGTTTGATCAATCTGGTTGTTACCAGATGACGGCTGGGGGTGACTACTGCTTTCAAACGCAAAGGTTCGACCCTGTGTTGCAGCTCACATACAAGGTGCGTGTCTTCGTTGGTTGACAATAGCAGTAGCCTTCAGTATTTGTACTGTGGAACAAACTTGCAGCCTTGGGAGCCACAGTGTTTGTGCTCCCCTTGCAAGAAATAGAGAAGAATTGCATTTTATTTGGATGCAAGCATTATTGATTGTGCTTCCGGGTTGACAGAATGCTTGGTGAGCTGTTGGAAGTGCAGGGGAATGTTACCCAGAGGACAATGACCAACCTCACAGGCTCGTCCTGCTTGTCTAACACAAAGTTGTGGTCCATGTTGTTTCCTGTGTTACGCTCTTGCGCCCAAGTTTGCGGCTGGCTGCAAAACCTGTGCATTGAAGTCAATTGTATTGGAAGCAAGTTTTCAATGCATTTCTAGAGCGTTGGGACATGTCTCTGGAATCCCAAACTATACAGATAGTACAACTGCACCATTGTGGCAATTTTACAAGAATGGATGGACGATGCAACCATCTTATAGCTCTGCAAGCAGGACATCGGCCCTGAGGTGCAAGGGCAGTGTTTTGCGATAGTGTTTCAATGTAGACACAACAAAATTCGATATATAATCACAAGCCCACAATGCGTGCACTTGGGCCATGGCAGCGGACAGACATACCAACTTGCCGGTGTCATGTTTGCCAGGCCATGGCAGAACATTGTCCTGCGGGAGATCACAGGCATTTCAGAGCGGAATTTGGAACCGGGGCATTTGTTGCCCAGAACATGCATCCTTCCATTCTTCATTGTATCAACATCACCTTGCTGGGTGGAGCAGATGGGGGCAGCACCAATGTCAGGCTAAATGTCGCTTGAATTGAATCTTTGGGCGACAAAGCAGTTTTGCGGCAGGAGGCTTTGTAGCAACCTTGACAGTGCGCGTGCAAGAGGATCTTGCAAGCTGTGCTGCCATGCACAAATCCTGTTGGCAATCGATGGAGGGTGCCTGAGGCCCAGGGCTGCATGGCCCAGGCAGACAGGTTGTCGAACAACAGGGTCCAGTGTGGACCTGTGGCCCAGGATGCGTAGTAAAAATTTGCCAGTGCGGTCCACAAAAACCAGTCCTAGTGTTTTTTCCTTGAGGGTTCTAATGCAATGCTTGTGTTGATCAGTTCAATGACAAGCTGCGCGCCGACATCACACCACACGCTGTGACCTTGCAAAGGCGCTGCAAACTGGAGTATGCTGGTGTCTGCCTGAATTTGACACCAAATATGAAGATTAACTTTGCAAAGAGAGACAAGAAGGTAGTGGCCCAGGCGATTTGTTGTGCCCGAATGTAACTTCACCCTGCACTTCACACTGCAACTTCACGTTGATGACGACAGCAGTGTGTGAAGCGTGAAGTACTTTCACAGTTCTGCAAAGTTTGCACTGAGTGGGCTTTTCACAAAGCCAGGTGCACATGACGACTTCTGCAGCTTCCAGCACTGGTTACTGTGTGCTGTGTGGGTCGTTTGGATGGCATTAAATGCATCTGGCTTTGCTGCTGCAGCAATCAGTCAAGCTTGGGGCGACTGTGAACAGTCTGCGACCTATCCATGTCGTTGTTGGGGTCATGGCAATAGGACTCTTGCGGGGCAACGCGCTGAAGACCTCGAAGCAGATGAAAATCCCCAAGCTGTCAAATGTTGCGGCGGTAAGGAGATGACCAGGAACGCTTTCTTGTCAGAAGACTCTGAGCACTACCTACGTGCAGCTGGCTTCGGCCACAAATCATCCAACACTGAGCTAGTTTTTCGAGCTCGAGCCAGCTGTGGATGACAAAAAAGTGGCGAAATTCCTTCCAGTCATCCCCAGTATTGGTTGAATCCTATTGAAGTGAATGTGGCAATCGATTGTCGCTGCCCGATCGGGTGTCTCAGGATGGAGTTATTGTGTATCCGTAGTCTGCAGCAGCAGAGAATGGAATCCGGCTTCCCCGCTCACAGCCGCACAATTTCGCATCTCTGCTGCTGGGGATTTGTTTTGGGATTCATCGTGGATCACCTCGTTGGTTTCAAGGCGCCTTCTGTCCATAAGACTCGAAATGCCTGGGTATCGTGTTACACAGGACATGCTCCATGGCACGACAAGGATATCGTCTGGGGTAATCAGCAGAGGTCATATGGTGCCGCTTGTTTGAAACCCGCTCTAAAAGGACCTGCCAGCGCAGAACATTCCGTTGCCTCTTTGCCCACAAAGCTAGTAAGGGCCGTTCTGCAGGTCGATGTGTATACCCAGATTCCTCCTGAGCGACACTGTTTGTACATCTACCCAAAACACCGGCGACGGGCTGCTTGCCATTGGCACTTGCGTCGACACAGCAAACGTCGAAAGCCTGGACAGCAACATGGGACGCTTCGCTCGTCGTTCGCTTCATGCATCAGAGGCAGCGAAATTAGGCAGTACAGGAGCCTAGATTGGTGGAATGTGCAGAAGTCGACGTTTCTCATCTCGTGCGTGTGTTCATGCCCCAGGATTACTCCCGTGCTGAGTGTCAGGGTCGATTCGGCTTGCAAACGAATGGAGTGTCCGGACTGGGCCTGCACGTGAGCGAGGTGAATTTGATTCTGCGCGTTGGACCGCCTGTTGAATGAATTCACCCTTTCTTGCCATCGCATCAGCCGCCTGATGGTGCAAATCGACTCGGCGAGATGGTATCCCTGGGCAAGCTTCAGAAAGCTGACCAGGCAAGATCTGGAGAGCTGGGAGTGGAGGGTGGCAGACGGAGGCTGGGTTGCTGACAGGTGGCAGGCTAACACACCCAGCATGTCCGACCTTGGGGGTTCGTGGTCAAGATCAGTGATGTGTATATGTTGGGGTTGGATCGATGTCCCGGTGGTACCCATGCATCCAAGTGGCAGGCGGTGGGGACCATCGTCTCCAGCCGGCCAAGGAGATGGACCCATGCGGTTGAGCAGTTGAGGCACCTGCGCAGCAGATCCGAGACTGCATTTCGCTGGCGATGTTATGAATCCATTGTGTCCAGGGTGCATGGGACTGTTGAGAGCAAGTGCAGCGCAGTTGATGCATTGTGGTCGCCGCCTTGGTTTGTTGGTCGGGACAGTCATTGCAAGAGAAGGGGAGGGTGGCGTCTTGCATGGCCAACATTCGTTGCCGCCGATTCATGCAGGAAGCTGTTGAGCAGCTGCAGTTGCGGGTGAGAACAAGCACGACAGGTGCATGCTTGCAGGAACAACTTTTGCTTTCGGCAGTTGCCGTTTTTTTTCTTTTTGGTTGCGGCGCACATTGCCGCTTCGTGAGGGTGTCATTTGACGTCGCCGACGCTGAGTGCGCACCTGCTCGAGAGGATGAATAGTATATTGGTGAGATTGACTTCGCTACAAAGTGTGTGCGACATTATCTTGATATGCCCAGGACCAGCATGGATGGGCAGCTCTGGCAGAATGTTTTTTGCTTGCCAGGCAGCGTGGCTGCGAGGCAGGGATTCATTGCAGGGTTTCACTTTATCATTTTGTGCTTGGATTTTTTTTTTTGGGGGGGGGGGCTGGATTGGTCAGCTGTTTGCGGTGTGGACAGTTGATGATCTGGTTGGGTGGTGGACAGCTTTTGCCTCATGGAAGGTGCGGGCTGGCGCCTGGCTCCAATGACATTGCTGTTGCTCGGACGATGCTTTTGATTCTACTTCTTACCTGTGGGGATGAAAACAGAAGGGCACTGCCCTGGAAGGATGCGTGGGGGGGGATTTGCTTTGTGCTGCACGGCCGAGGGAGAAGTGCAGCCAATGCAACCATTGCAACCAAGGTATGTGGAGCTCACCTAACCAACACCAAGCTGCGGCATGCTGTGCAGAGCTGGCAGATCCGCTGCTGTAGCCGTGGGCCTCTGAGCCGCTAAGATCGCCGCCAAACAGCAGCGGAGGGTGGGGCAGGACACAGTGGTAACTGCAGTAGCGGCCTGCTGATGCCCAGGTTGGGTGCGGGGATTATCAGTGCCCGGCCACCTGAGCCACCAGCATTCTCAAAGACTGGGCACGGATCTGAGAATTGCATGCTGGCAAGAGCGCACTATTGCCTTGGATTGCAGCAGTGCGTGCTGCACAGGACCCCCTGTACCCACAGAACCATGCCCCCTTGAGTGTGCACATACGTGGACTCTGTCACATCGACTGAGCCAACAGATGTGTGACACGACCGCTGTATGCACTCTGAGATCCCAACGAGGTCCCTTCTGTAACGGATATGTCGTATCAATTACCTCAAGCCTGCAGCCGAGCTGTAATGCTTGCCCATACACAGACCAGTGGGTACAAACCGTTCCAGGTGCTGGCCAACACACGACTTTCTGTCCCTTGCGCATCACTGCTGGCAATGGAGAGAAGGGCTGCGTCTGGAGGCAAATGCAGCTTTGCACCTCTGATCCATGCCAATGGACAGAAGATGACTACATTTGAGCTGCGTGCAGCCACATTTTTTGTCAAACTGTCAGACCCAACCACCCCTTCATGAAATCAATAGTCCCTTGCCCATCCTTCAAGTCTTCTTCCAACAAGCCTGCAGCATAGCATGCCACAGTGACTCTTCCACCAGGCTGTATGACCAGTTCCTGTAAAGACCTGCAAGCAATTGAGAATGTTGTGTAAATGCATACCCGCACATGTTAGAATACAGGGCAGTTTGTTTCTTGTGTTGCCTTTTAATGAGCTCATCGATGTACCAGACTCTAACGACCTAAAGCGATCTCACAATAGTGTCCTGGTATCCAACGCCTCAATCGTCAAGTATCGTTATCTGAGAATTCATACAGGATGTGAAAACACTGCAGGAATGATCCAACCAAAACAAGGGCAGAGAGACCAGTATTTCTGCATCGTCCTTATGCTGGGCATCTGCTTCATGGTGTTGCGAAATTGATCACTGTGGGAAACAATTCATGCGCATCACATATAGCCCTATCATCCAACAGTGTGGATAGCAGAATGAATCAACGTGTTTTGAAGAGAAGGTTTGGCACCAAGAAAAAGTAGCAGTTCCTTCTGTGCACCATTCCAGCAGCTGGTAACCTTTCAGTCCATTCAATGAACCTGCATGGTTCTGTCCAACAGCAAGGAGCCCAGTATGTGTCACCAGCTGCTGCTGCATGACTGAAAAAACCCTGCGAAGACCTTTCCCATAGCCACCTTCTTTCAGCAGCGCTCACCTGCTTTCAGAGATGGCCCCAGAACCTGTTCTTGCTCCTCACTGTTTCGCCTGCTGCTTCAGGCGCCTGATCTCACGGGCATGTGCAGCCTGAAAACAGTTCACAAAATTGAGTTTGTGGACCGCAACTGCAGCACTTGTTGCACAAACAACATGCCACAGCTTCAGCAAGCCCACCTTCAAATAGGAGAGTTTGGTCCAGCCATAGACAAGGCCCGCACCAAAGACTGATGCTCGCAACACCTGGAACACGAGCAAAACACCTTGTCGGATTCCCCTGCCACAGCTTTGAAGGCACAAGTTGCTTGGATTTGTCCTGTGGTGCTAACGAACTGCGATCTGAGGAATTGGACCCAGTGCAAGCACATTGCTTTGCAGTGCAAAGGCAACTGTAAGGATGTCAATGCCAGCATCCTTACAGACTGGCTTACGCAGTTATCGTTCTTCCTAAATTAGGAAAGGAGCGCACAGCGCGGGTTCCAGCATTGTTGGAGCCGATGCCGCCCAGATCACTCTGATCGCATAGGGTGGAGAGTTTTTCCTGTGGACAAGGGAGGCGGCCCCTATTCTTCGCGTCTCTCTGAACACTAGCTCCGTCATTTCAATTTGATTGTGCCCGCTACGACAAGGCGATAGGCACTGCCCATCTGCGACCGCGGCCCCCCCACAAGAGATCCCAGCGATCACTTCGCGCTCAACAGTTGCACGAGTCCCCCGTAACCTCAGCGACAGACTTCGCAAACTGCCACGAATGGCAGCGCTACTTGACCAGGATTGCGCACCACAAGAGGAACACTGCCAATCCGTCGAATGCGTTCCACAAGGCAGCCACAACGGGTAGCATCCGCGCCGGTGGCTGCGCGACTGCGCAGCGCCAGTCGGCCCACAGTATACAAACAGACCAAACTGCGGCGACAACCTTTACAAAGACATTCGCTCTCGCTCCGACAGTCACCCAAATCCAATCCTGGCCGCATCACCCACCGCCGACAGCGCGCTCTTCCCAGAGTATGGGCCCGGAAAAGGCATGCTCGTGCAGCCGGCCTCCGGAGCGCTGCCCGATGCCCGGGCGGCGCCAAGGACAGGCCTCAGGAAGGTGGCTGCAGCTTCGGCGGCGCTGAGCGCCTGGCCACCTGAAGTCGAGGTTCACTGCGGGGGTCGAGCGGTCAAGCCCGTTCGTGCTCGAGCTGCTCCTCCTTTTTGTGTCCCCACATATTAGAATGGGCCCTTGAGGTGCATCTTGTCCATCAATGCCATCAATTCTCTCCGGGGTATGACTTGCGATTGGTGCAACAAAACCAGTTGAAAGTGATGCGGACCAATCTTGGCTGCGTTGGCGTGAGCACAGCGACGCAGGGTGCGTGGAGGGCATAAAATTACTCCCCGTTCTTGTTTGCTGAGATTCGGTTCTTGTTTTCGGACACCCTAAACCCTCACTCACATGGTCAGCTTACCATGGCCCCCAACTTCGTTGCATTTCCCTTTTTATGGTCATATATCATGCGACTGTGGTTTGCTCAGGCCATCCTGCGAATAGTACAGCGAGCTCACGGCAGGCACTCATCGTTCACCTCAATCGAAAGGTCCACCCATAGAACCGATGGGAATAATTGGGTGTCGGGAAAAGCACACAATCATCCGCATGGATGCCAGCAGTGTGTTGTATGTTGCGCAGGCAAGGCACTGATGTTGCTGCCAACCGAGATTTCGCGGCCAGGGGGGACATTCCACCCGTCGACCGCACACCCCACACCAGGGCCTCTCGCCTGCACGCGGACCAGCAAGCCAGGGGGCCCCCGCCACTGGCTGCAGAAATGCCGTGGAATGGCTTTCGTTGCTAGACCCCCGCCCAACGGACTCCTCCCCTCGCCTTGGCACCGCCCCTGGCCGCGCAAAAGCGCCCGAATCCGCAAGCCATACCGCTGCCGCTGCCGGCTGCTGAAGCCCGCGAGGAGGACACCGTTCCCCATCTGTTGGTCGGTGAGGCCCCAGGACGGTTGCTTCGCGGGCGCTGACGCCCTCGAAAGAGTCATCTGGTCGTCATTCGGCCTCTGACTTCGGATTGTCCTTTTTGCCTTCAGACCAGAGGGGACGGCCCATCGCAGCCGCCCGCGCCCAGAGGCAATCCCAATGCCCGCTTCGACGAGAAGGTAACGCGCAGTGCTCCGAAAGAAAAAAGTGCCGCGGATGGCGTTGCTTGTGATGGCTGACCAGGGAAGGATGCTTGGTCGGTGGATTGGTATTGTTGCTGCGCGTGGGAAGGGCCGTTTGGGGCGGCGGAACGATGATGGAAGCCAGGGCTCAGCGTCCCTGTCTTGTGGGGATTGGGCAACAGATCAGGGCTTGTGGGGCGGAGGTGTCTGCATCTAAAAATAGGTTGCGCGCAGGCCGCGATCGTTCTGTTTGGATTGGCGGGCTAATGAATGGGATGATGCGCGCGTTGTAGGGCTGCGCATGGCTGCCGTCCTCTTGCCGGTGGCGCTCCCATGTGCGGTTCGTCTGAATAATTGCCTCGCAGGGGGGTGGGAGACGCGCATTTTGGGGCGCATGCAGACGCGTTTGGAGGCTGTGAGCCATGGTGCGGGATGTAGGGAACAATGATGTGCGCTCCTGAGAGGCTGCTGAGCGGGTGATCATGACCGGGGCTGTCATGCACGGCTGGAATCTAGCTTCCCTGAACAGGGTGGTGCCTGTTGGCTCCTCAAGCGTGGACATGCTCAGGAAGTGCTGTCGTCCGGCCAGTGAACCACACACCGTGTTCGACCGGTTCAAGTCCTATGCCGTCCTTTTTAAACCCTTCGAGACCCTGCAGGTTCTCTTCCGGCTCAGTTTCTTTCTGCCTTTGTGGGGCCCTTAGGAGTCCTATCGATTGACTGAGCAAGACTGAATGTACAACCCGCAGGCCCTAACAAATATAGCCAAGAAGGGCCCGACCCTTGGCGATCTCCGCCTGGAGCACGAGGTCCTTGTGGAAGATGAAAAAGGCAACGTGGACACAGAAACACTCGAATTCATTCCGCCTTCTGTCCTGGGGAGCACCAGCTATGACCTTGAACCCAAATGGTCAGAACTCCCACAAATGTCATTCATGGAATTCTACCATGGACTCCTGGAGAGGAACTGGGTGAGCGACGAGTACAACCCCCAAGCGGAGCCATGGAAGCTGGAGTTCTTCAAGGATAGTGGCCGCATTTTCCGGCCCTCATTCAGTGGGTACAGGGCCATCGTGGAGAAGGCAGACAGGTCGCGTGTCTGGGTGGACATGCCAAGCCCGGGGAGAGAGAGCTTCATTCGGGATGTTGCTGTAGACAGGGCTGTGGGGGCGAGCCAACCAGCGCCTGCTCGACTGAGCCCACTCCCTTCTGAGTATGGCTATAACCAGGTGGGCAAGGTGGACGGCATTGGCTGTGTGCTCAATGGTGTTGATTGTGCAGCAAATGTTGATCGTATTGTAGATACTACAATGTACGCTGCTGGTTTCTGTAGCATTTTTGTGTTGCCTTGACTAACTATTGTTTCTCTCTAAGGAATGCTGTCGTTGAGTGGGTGTGGCCACGGCTTCAGAGGTTGAGTTTGGTCATGCTGCACAGGGGCGTCTTGACAGCTGTTTGTTTTTGGCTGCTGCTCTGAATGCCACTGTGTCTGCCTCCCCTTTGACAACAGTGACTCCCACATCAGCTACTAGAATTACTGATATGCACATGCTGGCTGCAGTTAGTTCTCTGTGAACATGGGGACGTTGTGGAACAGGGCAAGCAAATGTGACACATGCACAGTCTCTGTTGGGCATGCTGTATGCAATGTGCACAGTGTAGAAGAAGCAAAATGTTGTGGCACACTTGCTGTCATAGAGAATTGCTATGGCTGGCAATATGCCAATGGTCATGCAGGAAATACGAATCCCTTTCAGCCATCAAGTAGGAAAATGTGTCATAATGTGAGGCCCTGTGGCTGCCAACTGCACCATGGCTTGACTGCCCTGTAGTGTGTTAGGGACTCTGTCAGCATGTGCCCTTCTCTCACTCAACATGTCATTGTACATTTCATTCGACTGCCCCTTTTAGCTGCGCCCTTAACGATCTTATCCTGCTTGGGGCACAGATTCATCACCAACATGAGTAAGCATGTGGAATTGAAATGTTGCATTCCAAGTTGGCAACTTTCTTGTTGGCACATCAAGCACAATGCTGTTTGAAAATGTTCTGGAACATGTTGGAAAACGCAAGCTCTCCAGGTCACCCAGTCCATTCCCCACATATGTTTGTCTGCACATGCTGGCTGATTATATCACGATCTTGGCACAACAGGTGTTCGAGCAGATATTTCAGGCTTTTGAACAGAAAATGCCCTCGAAGGGTTTAAATGAGTACCTGAAGCAGGGCTGGGTGCAAAAGGAGAACTACGAGTACAAGTGCCCAGGGGATGAGCTGCTGGATGTTTCCTTCCACCTGTCGCCCCAGGAACCTAGCCTCCGCGGCTTCTGGGATATCCTGCCTTCCATTTTGTTCGCCAGCTTTGCATTCTCTTTTCTGGGCATTTGCCTGGCTGTTGGGATCTTCAGGCCAAGGAAGCAGATGCCAACGGATCCTATGCAGGCGATGGAATTTGCTCAATCAAAGGGCAGAGCACGAATGGATGGCAGAACAGACATACAGTTCGCTGATGTGGCGGGTCTGGAGACAATTATCAAAGATCTCCAGGATATTGTCAAGGTGAGCATACACTAGCAAGAAAGGGAGTCTCCAGCGTCTGTGCCTCCACAGGGTTTGGCCTCCCCTTGCCCTGCTTTGCACAGCCTTCCGCTTGACCAGAGGCTGTTGCCATGCAGTCTGCTGAGAGAACTGCCAGCAGTACTGATGCAATGGTTTTGGCATGTTTTGTTTTCTCTAGTTCCTTCAGGATCCCAAGAAATATGAGAAGCTGGGGGCTAAGCCGCCAAAGGGGGTGTTGCTCGAAGGGCCGCCAGGGACAGGAAAAACCCTTGTTGCAAAGGCCATCGCTGGGGAGGCAGGGGTGCCCTTCTATCAGATGAGTGGGAGCGAATTTGTAGAAGCCATTGTGGGGGTGGGAGCAGCAAGAGTTCGTGATTTGTTCAAGAGAGCCAGGGCTCAAGATGAGGCTTGTATCATATTTGTCGATGAGATTGATGCCTTGGGTACTAAACGGGCAGAGGCAGGTGCGTTTGTGCTCAGCTGGCATACCTGTTGGTCTAGGCACGCTTGCGGATGTTTTGTTGTGGGTGGCATACGTGGTCTTGGGTTGTTGACTGTGTGCTTCAGTACAATGATGTCTGTTCTAGCAACAAGGACATATTTGGCATTGAAGCAGGGGTCTCTTCAAGTTATTCTTTTTCAAATCTTGCAATTCTTTCCAAGAGAAACTAACAAGGCACATCGGCAGGAAACAAAGGCAGAACCCTTGTCACACCAATGACAAGGTGCTTAGGTTGTTCACTGTGCTCATGCTGCAAATCAATGTACTGTCTTGTGCCCTTTTGTTTGGCTGTCACTTGTATGTCCAGCTGCTTGTGTTTCATTCGGACTTCAAAACCCTGCAGAAAGCTCACAGCTCTTGTGCCTTGTTTATCTGCCCCCTCTGTTCAGGAACAGCATTTTCCATTTCGTTCAGTGCCACTCAATGTCATGAATTCGACAACTCAGCTCACTCAAGATGAAAAAGTCCATACTGTGGCATTGTGGTCACTGATCCTGTTGTGCAATCACCACTGCAGGAATTCAAACTAACGAAGAGAGGGAGCAGACTCTTAACCAGCTCCTAACAGAGATGGACGGCTTCACTCCTGAGCAGGGGGTTGTATTTGTTGGGGCAACGAACAGGGCTGACCTCCTGGACCCAGCCCTCTGTAGACCTGGCCGGTTTGACAGGAAGCTGCGTGTATTGAAACCTGATACAGAGGCCCGTCTCAAGATTCTCAAGGTGCTTGATCTGTGATTGTGCGCCATCGCACTTGACTTGGGCAGAGTTGTACATCATGCACATCTCAATCTTTGAAAAGCAATGTTGCCATGCTTGTGGCTCATGAAAGGAAGCCCAGCGTATGATCCAGTAAAAGGTCCAAACCACAGCAAAGTATGTGCATAGCTGGGACTTTTGTGTGGACATGCTGTATATTGCTATTTCAGAATCTCTTTGCTGTCTGGCAACACATGAGCACAGATGCACTGCCCTGTGAGATTTCAGGTCTTCAATTTTTCAGATTTGGTTCCTACCCAGATTAGCTGAATGCTGTTTAATCAGGTTCATGCAGAGAGGCGCAGGATGTCTGACGACATTGACCTGGAGCAGCTAGCTCGGGATCTGCCTGGTCTGTCTGGAGCTGAACTGGAGAATGTGCTGAACGAGTCTGCTTTGGAGGCAGTGCGAAAGGACAGTGATGTCATTACCCCAAAACATGTGTACAACGCTGTGGAGAGGGTGCTCCAGGTGTGCATTCCCCACAAGTCCCTTGCTTTCCCCTTTGGCGCTGTTGGCGTTGCATTGGCCTGCTGCCATTTTCATGTGCTCAGCTTTTTGCAGCGATCACACATTCCTTCGATCTTCACAGAGAGGCCAAGTGGATCCAGATTCAATGTGGCACCCATGCCTTTGCTGTCCTGATTGTGCAGAAGGGGGCAGTGATCTACACCTGGGGGAAGAGTTGGCAAAGTGCTCAAGCATACGTGCCCATTGGGACCCACTGCCCCAACAATTGCTGCTGTACGATTTTGTCAGCATGCAAACCCATGGCATTACCTGCTCACTGCTCAGTGCAATTTTCTGACCTGAAGATTGCTCTGACAAGAGTATCAGGAATGCAGCAAGCGTGTCTCAATGTCCCTTCTTGTTGTTGCCACTGCCTGTTATTTCACAAGCAAAGTATGCTGCATCCAGGCAATTGAAGCCATGCTGCTCTAGACCTAAGATACCAGAAAAGTGAAAGCATCCTGTTTTGCAATATGCATCCACATACAATAGGAAATCTCTGTGGGGTGAAATCGCATTCACATGTTGCAGCATCATCAGCACATGCAGGCACAGGCTGCAATCTCACCACAGTAGAGCCTGAATGCTGTGCTGCACACTTTCCTAACATATGGATTTCTGGGACAGGGTGTGCGGCGGCCAGCTCAGCCCGACCAACTGGAAGTTGGCAAGGCGATGGCCATCCATGAAATTGGCAGAGCCATCATTGCCATCGTCATCAGACGCAAAACACACAATTTGGAGGCCGTGGAGCGGGTGTCCATGATCGCCAGGGGAAAGGACTGGACAAGGACCATCTTTTACAGAGGCCAGGATGAAGATTACACAATGACAACCAAGGCACGCCTCCTGGAGCGTGTGCGAGTCATACTCGCTGGCCGCGCTGCTGAGGAACTTGTTCTGGGATGTGCAACATCCTATGCTGTGAAGGACATGGAAATGGCTTACAGGTGAGCAAAGCCTCAGCTTTTCGTTGTTTTTGGAGCCACCACGTGCTGTTCCATTAGCTGTGTGGAACGATTGCCTGAAGAATGAAGACGTGGGTTGAATAATAGTTGCCTCTGCCCCTGCACAGAAGTGTGCGACACTCCTTGCTACATTGCAAGATGGTGTGCTCAGCTGCTGTCTCTAACATTCTGCGTGGAGCAACATAACGTTGAGGTGCGAATCTCAAGTTTCGTGCATTGAACAAAACAATACAGTGCAGTCCCATGGGGACATCCAGCTCCTCAACTCCACCAGCCCCAATACTTTAACGGTCCAAGAAAATACAATTCCAATATGGTGTGGGCTGCTGCAGAAGTCACTGAATGCATGAACACACAACAGCGAACTGTGCTCAACCTATGTGCCTGGGTCTTTACGTGACAGTGCTGGTGTTTATCCAAGTTATGACAGGTCCCCAAAGCGCCTGGGCACAGGCCTTGCCTCTGCAGTCATCTGGGGTGCTGATGGGCACTGCTGCTGCCAAGTGACACCTTTCCATTTGCATTGGTGTACCCTGCACAGCCAACTGTGTGCATTTGCGTTGTTTTCTGCGGTTGCTTGGCTTATGACAAGTTCACGTCGATTGTCTCATGGGCAGATTGGTGGAGAAGATCGTGTGCAATTATGGCATGTCCAAGCTGGGCATTACGACATATGCGCCTGTCACTCGTGGCACAGGCTACATGAAACGCAGCTTCGAGGTGAACGTGGACAACATCGATGAGGACTTGTTTGGCAGGGGTCTCAAAGGTGGCATGTTCCAGCCATCGGACGTTGGTCAGCACAAGTAAGAATGCTCTGTGCCGAGTCGTGAGCACTGCACATTGCATTTCTTGCAGTCGGTGCTGCATCAATTTGTGTGCTTTTCATGTTGCACTCTTCGATTTCTGCAGTATGGTTCCATTCTTGGGTAGAAATTCGAAACATACATCCTATTGGACATATGCCTAGTTCCATGCGAGAGCTACACATGTCTGAGCCAATTGAAGCCGATCACATGGCAGTCAGACAAGACTTACGAAGTGAAAATGGGTGTTGCGATTGACGTGACACTGCCTTGTGATGACGCACGATTTCGTCAGACAGCAAGGAAACAGACCTGGATTTTTTGGACCATTGGCCCGTGATCGTTGGAAACCAACAGAATGGGGTGCATAGCTGTTGTATTGTTGGCTTTTTTCATCTGTTGGAGCGTGCATGGTGGGATGTTAAATGTAACTTGCTGTCAATGGTCGCTTTCACATGACGGCACTTTTGGTCAGCAATGGCGCTGGACGCAAGATGCCGTGGAGTCGAAGCGGTGGGAGTCAAAGCATGGGTATGGCGGCAAACAAAGAACAAGTGGCAACCAAACACCACCAAAGCTTTCTGTGTTGTGGATGTGATATAATCTTTGAGGTGTGTGATTCAGCAGATCAACTACATGTGTCATCTCCAAAGGTCCGATATCATGCAGGCTGAAACCATGCTGCTCGCAGGATGCTGCTGGAAATCCACGAGCTACTGAATGAAGCCTATGCCGATTGTTTGGTGAGTGGATTGCCCATCTGGGGATTGCAGAAAGGCTGTTCTTGTCTCTGCTGCTGTTGCCATGAGCTCTTGCAATTCTCCTGTGGTTGAGACTGCAAGGGGGTACGGTAACCAGTGCAAGGACTGCTGCCCATCTTGTGGAACAGACACTGTCTAGCCAACGTCCTTTGAGCAATTTGCATCTCGAAGCAACTGAGCTGTTGAGTCGCCTCTTGTTGTCTGTCTGCAGCTGCATGTGAATGGCCATCCTCTTTCATGGCAAACCCTCGTTGAACACACATGTCGTGCCGCAAATTCTGTAGGAATGGGGCTGTGGCTGTGGGTTGGAGTGGAGTCCTGTCCCTCAGAGCGAGGCTCCATTAGTAGATTGAGCAATGGCGCCATTATCACAGTTTGCGTCGCATTTTCATGCTCAGCCCTGTTCAGCACTGCTGTGCAATGAAGTCAGGAGGATCCACCTTCAGCTGAGATACAGCTTCTTGTGTTGGATGCAGGACATCCTGGCCAGGCATGCAGACGCTCTCGAAGCAGGCGCCCTTGTGCTGCTGGAGAAGAAGGAGCTGAGTGGAAAGGAGCTTGAAAAGATTGTTGACGATCACCCTCCTAAGCATCTCCCAGCCACCGCAAACGTGAGGGGCAGGGTTCACCCTACTCACATGGCTTCTTGTGCTCATGCGTGTTGCATCCCATTCCTGTTGCACCGGAACGGTGGTGCCCTGTCTTGCTGTCTGGAAAGGAGCCCCCCAATCATTCCTGCTCAGGAGGGGTGCCCAGTGTCATGCCGCCTTCTGTTGAAAATGCCATCCTCGCCTTTTTGGCAGTCCCGATGAGGCGTTTCTTGCCGCAATGCAGGATCGTGGGCAACTGCCTGCTCGCGGGCTGCAGCAGCGGGATGAGGTCACGTCTGCTGGGCTGTCCAGCGACGTGAAACCCGCCCTTGGGGTAGCCAAGTCCAAGACGGAGATGTCCTATGCAAGCATTCTCCACAGCCTGCTTGGGCGGACGAATGCTAACGAGCCTGAGGGGTGAGGTGGTCAAAAAGGCGGGCTCGTCGATGGACAGAGGACACGAGGACGTTTGGGATTGGGTGTGTGAATCGGTCCAACAAGCTGCAAACTTCTTCCAGGGTTGGGGGTGGAGGGGAGCAAGCCACGATCGCATATTCGCAGCGGCGTTGGAGCCATTCGATGCTCATTTTTTGTTGTTGTTTTTGGTGAAGTTTGGGCCGGGCAGGTAGGGAGCGGAGCGGAGGGTGCTACTGGAAATAGGAATGCTGGGGTGCCGTGGCACCACGGCAAACGGGCGTCTCAACATTGCTAGATTCATAGGGGTTGGAGGCGATGAACGACTTGCAATTGCTGAACAGAAAAAGGAAAATGGGTCCTGCACCCTGCGTGTGCTGACTTCGATATACGCACATCCTGGACCCCCAAGGGATGCTGCAATGAAGAGCAAGTGGTGAATCAGCGCAGTTCAATACACCCTTCCGCACTGGGCCTTGATTCATTGGCTATTCGACTCATAACGTCAGCTTTCTGCAGATGGAGGGACCTGTGTTGGCTGGGCCGCAGAACAACGGACAAGAGACACCTGAACGCGAGCGGCAGAAAAAATGTCTTGGAGACTACACTACTGCTAAAAGTCACGCGCTTCATCCCTCAAACAATTTGCACTGATGTACAAACGTGTCCCCTTGGGCTCACATAAAAATACGAACTTGTCTCACCCTGCCTTTGGCTGCCATGGCCGGCCCAAGTCTCAACCTGGTGGACTGACCGACCGGGGTGCCGGCATGATGCCCCCCACCCTGAGCCGCACGTCCACCACAGCATCCCCCCTCAGGGCCTCCACCACAGCAGCCAGCTCCTGCTCCGAAAAGACGTCCATGCCGATCTCCTGCGCCCTCATGAGCACCACGGAGGTCAGGCACCGCAGTTCGAACCTCTCACTCGTTGACAGCTTCTTTATCATCCCGATCAGCTGCTCCCTCAGCTGCCCCCAAACCTCGCCCTCCCGGTTCAAAGAGAACCACAGGAACCTGCCTAGCTGCGCCCCAGCCTCCTCCCTCACTGCCACCACACAGTCACTGCACAGCTGCAGCGCGCAGGGCAGCAGGTACTGCCTCACCAGCTCAGGGTGCACGAACTCCACCATGGGCCCTAGCTGACTGGCCACAGCCCTGCGCAACCTCCAATCCCCACTGTGGAAGAAACGCATGCCTGAGGACGATGCCGCCCCCTCTGCATCCGCCTCCGCCTCCGCCTCTTCAGCAGTTGCGAACGACTCGTGCGAAGAAGGGGAAGTCGGCCTGCGATCTTCGAGACTGGTTCTGGGACCAGCTCTCGGGAACGTGGGGGCCAGTATGTTGTCGATCTGGGAGAGGCACCGCTCGTGCAGTTCCTGCGGAAGCTGCTGGATCAGCACGCCCAGGTACTTGGCGGTGCCCATGCGTACAGCAGGAGATGGGTCCTCCATCCAGCTGCACACAGCAAGTAGGGTGTTGGATAGGCCATGGCACACGAAGTCACTCTAGAGCAAGCAGGGCATAGGCATGGAGGCTGTCCAATCCTCAGAGTTTGATTGCTGACAATTCACAAACTTTTTAAAATTTTTCCTACAACAATTGCTGCCCGGCTTGACATGATGGCCAGAATATCCGAAAGCTGCGCAACAAGTGTTCTCCACAATCTGTACCCAAAAGCGTGAGCAAGGAGCACTGATGAGCATGTGCATATTATTAGTGCACATTCTTTCAGAAGGAAAGGTTTGGGGCTTGGGCGGTCAGCAGCACTGCATCGCTGGAAGACATGGGTGAATTTCTCACCTATGCACAGCAGGAAGCACATCCTCCTCCAGCACTTCCTTGTCTAGGGGTGCCACCAACTCGTGGGCAGAGCACGCGAGCGTGCGCCGCACACCCTCTTCCTTGCACCCCGCCATCGTCAAGTACAGGCCCCTCAGGCTACTCCAGCCCTGGGCCCCTGCCTTGAGGGCCACACCAGGAAAGGCATGCGCGCAGCTCAACAACACTGCATCGTCTGACAGTCCACAGTGCTCACTGATCACTTTGCAGAATTCCTCCAGCAGTTCTGGCACCAGGGACTGGGTCTCCAGGGTGGTGAGGAAGGGCCCAAAGCTCATCAGCGCCGATGCTTTCACCCAGGTGGATAGGTCCTCCCTGAGGCGATTGAGAGTGGGCAGTAGGCTAGTGTGACGTGAGCTAGGCGGGAGCAGATTGGAGATCGCGGGTAAGACATCTGCTGTGGCTTGCCGCACTGACCACACTGTGTCATGGGTCAGGGTTTGGAAGATGGGCAGTGCCCATTGCAAAACGGACTCTGCAGACAGGCACGTGCAAAAGGTTGGAAATTGCATTGCCAACTCCTGCGCCAGTGTAGGGAAGCAACTCAGGGAAGCTGAACTGGAAAGAAGGCAGACACCACGGTGTCAGCCAGGACAGGCTGCCACATTTTACAGGGGCCCAGGGCAAACCAGCAGGCAAAAAGAGGCAATGGCATGGTGCTCCCACTAACTTGTTGGTTCTTATTGCATTCCAACATTCGAAGCTCTGCTTAAGATATCAGATGCCAAACACACTGCAATAGAATACAAGTTGGCCCCCCACTACACTGCAAACTACTGCAAATGGTGCAGCACCAACAAATACTGGAAACTTGCTGCTGCAAAACATCAGGCTGCTCAGCTACTGCAGACCATCGTATCTACAATGGCAGGACGGCAACGTGAGGAACACTGGACCAAGACCTAGTTATCTCAGGACAAAATCAATTTGCTTAAAAACGTACACACGGACAACAGGCAAAGCCCCTTTGCAGAACACTATTATGCCTGCAACACACCAGGTATCTGGGAACTGGACCACTGCAGATGAAGCACCAGGGTGCAATCGACAACAGCAGTGAATTACGCCATCAAGAATGCATGCACAAAGCAAGAAGTTGGGTGAAACCTCAAAACCAAGCAACGAGTTGCACTTCACAGTGGGAAAGGCAAAGACCAGAGAAAGCGCAAAAGCCATGTTCCTCTGGCATAGTGACAGCGCACCTTTCGCACATCATGGCTCGCATCTGCTCCAACCTTACAAAGCCGTTGGCATGTTTCGCTCTCTCCCCACAACTCCACCATGACATCCAAAACGCCTGCAAGGAGGCGCAAACCCCACAGCCTGTCTGCCAGTTCGTCGCTCGCCAGCAATGAGTCCGCAGTCTGACCCATCTGCTCAAGATCTGAGCTCCCTTTTGCGCACATCGCCACCCCGATGCAGGCATCGAGCCCTGCATCCCTCACAGCATCGCAGTGGTCCTTGATGAGTGTCAAGGCGCAGCCAAGCACCCTGCCAAACAAGGGAGAGTTCGAGCCTTCGTGTTCGCATATGGCCCTGCCTAGGCAGCAGTGTGCAACAGTAATGTTGGTCACTGCCAGTGCAACAAATGTTGCACATCAAGCAAGAGCGAGTGGCTGCCATCGAAGGTCCAGTATCATGCAAGATGGTGGTGGTTCAACAGAAAGATAAGCCAAGCGATGGGCATACCCCTTCCTGAAGATTGCCGCGAGGCTTTACTACCTGACTCAAGAGGTAAAGCTTCTGATGGGAGCACGCAAGGCATACAGAATGGCCAACATTACCAACAGCAGCAATGCAGATTGCCTGCCCATGACTCTGTTGTCTGTAAGGACAAGCGGAAGCACATTGCATCCGAAATCAAAACTGTATGGCAAAGAAGAGGTGGGACAGACGAGGCAAGGGGATTTTTCAGGGCAATTGTCTGACAAGGATCACTTGTTGCAGCAGCCAAGGGGATTTGGAACACACAGCACCGAGCGGCCAAAGAATGGAACTGCCTTCCCAGCCTTCCCCTATGCGCCTTCGTGTGCCAGGGAGTATTCAAAACTGTTCGCCCTGGGGATGTCCCAGGCCGGTTTTCCGCAAACAGCGACATCAGAACCTGCACACCTCAGCCCAAGCCCCCCACAAGACACTGCTAAAAAAGAATGGGGTCCAGGCGCAGCTCCGCCTATGTTCCAATGCCCTAACTCTGTCGCTTCAACACAACGCGTGCCGGGCACAGCAGCCTGCGCAACCCCTGCAGCGACACATCACACCACCCACAAGGCCCATCCCTGTACAAGGTCAGTCTCGATCGGCAAGACGCATGCCTCACAAGACAAGACGCCCGCTCCAAATGGCGCCGTACCGTACCCATTGGATGGAGGGCGTCCGACACCGCATCCCTGATGATATCCTCCGGGTCCCGCACCAGCTCCTCCACCAGGGGCACCAACTGCGTGCTGATGGCGTCGAACTCCAACCGGGGCGTCTCGAACCCAATGGCCTGGCCACAAACACCGACCCCCCCAAATTTAGGTCGCCCGAAATCAAAACCCAACGTCTCCGATCAGCGACCGCAGGGAGAGGCCTGGCGCGCCCGGGTGCCGGGCTCAGGGAGGGATATCGCCGCACTCGCCACACTCACCCTTATGAACGGCAAGCGCTGCAGGAAGAGGCTGCTGCGGGAGTACTTGAGGATGGCCTCCAGACTGGAGAGGGCTTCGTCGATCTGGGGCCCACAAACAAACCCTTGAGCGGCGCGCTCGCAAACAGTGGCCATCTTTCCTGACCATGACGGTGCCCGGGCGAGGGGCGGGGAAGGGACCGGGCAGCCCTTGGGGACCACCCACCTCCAGCGACTCCTGCCGGTCTGGGAACACGTCCAGCTCCAAGTCGCCGGCCGGGGCTGAACCCATCGCCCAGTTCGCAGAGCAGCGAGGCTCAGCTTCTCTGCCGCTGGGGGCCTGGCGCCCTTGCTCGATTTTGCACCCATTGGCCGATTTTAGGGGCTGTTAAAGTTGGCCATTTCCAGGCCATAAATGACATGGCAAATGTCTCCATCAACTTCATCTTCCCAGCATCTACCGGCAACATTTCCAGCAGCATCGACTGACCACCATTAGCTACATCATCAAGAGCATCTTACATCTGAACATAGCGGCAGCATGAGGAGCGATCAAAAGGCTACAATCCGACCAGAACTGTGCAAGATCAAGCCGCTCAGCGATCACAGTTCCGGAACCAGCTCCGGTGTACAGTTTTACTACCCTACATGGCCGACTACGCATCAGTATGCATGGTTCCATCCGACTTTGATGCCCAGCATGGGATAATGACATCCTCCCACACACCCACAAGTCGTCAAACGACCAGTCCGACATCCAAACACCGTCCAAGACCTCCAAAACGGCAAAAGCGCACAACAGCGCTCCCCTGCATTCTGACCATCCTGCACAGCGAGCCCCGCCTCCCAGTCCCACTGCCCAGCAGCTGGTTGGCGGTTTCCCGGCAGCCATGACAGTAGCGCGATTCCGCCAGGTCGAAAGCTGGCGCTTTCTGATCGCCCAGTGGCTCGTCTTCGGCGACCTCTGGCTCTCGAGATGGTATCTCGAGAAGGCGGACTGCCCGGAAGGGTACTGGAGCTTCGGGCTCACTGTCATCCTGCCGTTCAGCGCTGAGGACGAGCTGTGGCTACATCATCAGCGGGAGCATGGAGAGGAGGCCTTACGCTATCAGCTTCAGGAGCAGGCGCGCGAGGCGTACGAGCGCATTGAGTCAACGCAACTGACGTCAGGACATCTGCCAGGGCCAGGGGAGAAGCCGGACTGGAATCCTGACTACAAACCGGAGGCCGTGTACCGCCCCTGGACCCTCCAGGTGCACCCCCATCCGCATCGGCCGTACACCGGCATGGGTACGCAGGCCTTTCGGCAGCGGATCGCGGCGATGATCGAACGTGAGGGGGGTCGAGTCCAGGCCTGGCGTGGCGCTGAGTTGAATTACTACA